TTTGTCTGATTTTGAAGGGAAAATACAGCATCTGCTGCCTGCAGGATCTCTCAATTCTCGCACTGTGTTGGTCTTAGTAAATGCCATTTATTTCAAAGGAAACTGGGAAAAGAAATTTCTGGAGAAAAATACTTCTGAGATGCCCTTCAGACTGAGCAAGGTAAATTCCTTGTCTATATGCCTATTGTCATATGTAAATATGTCTATTACTGAAGAGCTAGAAACCTCTTAATATTTCACCTGCATTTCGTATGCCACTGCAACAGCTGGGCACATGGTATAAACTCAGTGAGAATGGCAATTGTGAAAATAAATCAGCATTATCTTATGTACACATATCCATGAGAATAGGATTTTCCCTTCAATTAATAGTTCTCCAGTATCAAAACACTTGAGAACACCTTGGTTGAGTAGCTTAAGGACAATGGAAAATTTCCCTAAGTACCAAGGTCCCCTTTTCAAAAGAGACTGATTTTCTTTTGAGAGCAGTACTTGCACACTACATCTCTTTTCTGCTTTTGAGACACATTCTATACTCTGAGTTCAAGGAAACTGAACCGGCTGTTCTTTCCTCACACACCCTGGGTGTTGTGCAAAACCTCAGAGGGAATTTTCATGGCAGTTTGTTATTTTAGCTGAGTGAGGATGATCAGTATACACTGAGGGCATGTTATTGAGCTAACAGTATTAAAACAATCATGTGCTGACAATTCACAGTAGCTGACTGCATGCATTTTTTTGGACTGTGTCAATGCAGAACTATTTGTCAATGGAAGCATGTATTTTGTTTGACATAGATTACAAGTGCAAACACCTTTTGTATGCCAGGCAATGTGAAGCAATTGCATTGATGATGTGACTCTGTATCCCAAACCTACTACACTACATGTGCGGTTTTAGGATCAGTCATGGTACATGGTTGTGGTGGGTTGACCTCAGCTGGCCAGTAGCTGCTCACCAAGCCTCTCTGTCACTCCCCCTTCTCAAGAGGATGGGGAGAAAAATAGGACAAAAAGCTCATGGCTCAAGATAAGGACAGGGAGATCATCTCCCAATTATCATCACCAGCAAAACAGACTTAGGAAAAATAATTTACTGCCAATTGATCAGAGTAGATTAATGAGAAATAAGACCAAATAGAAAATACCTTCCACTCACCCATCCCTTCTTCCCAATCTCAACTTCACTCCCAGCTCTTCTAACTATCCCCCAAAGCAGTGCAGGGGGACAGGGAATGGGTGTTGCTGTCAGTTCATCGCACTTTGTCTCTGCTGCTCCTTCCTTCTCATGCTCTTCCTCTGCGCTAGTGTGGGGTCCCACCCACAGGACTCAGTCCTTCAGGTCCAATGTGGATCCTTCCCACAGGCTGCAGTTCTTCACGAACTGCTCCAGGGTGGGTCCCTCCCACGAGGTGCAGTCCTTCAGGAACGGACTGCTCCAGTGTGGGTCACCCACAGGGTCACATGTCCTGCCACAAAATCCTGCTCCTGAGTGGGCTCCTCTCCATGGGGTCAGAGGTCCTGCCAGGAGCCTGCTCCAGCGTGGGCTCTCCGTGGGTTGAAGCTTCCTTCAGGGCACATCCACATACTCCAGCATGGGGTCCTCCACAGGCTGCAGGTGGGCATCTGCTCCACCATGGAACATCATGGGCTGCAGGGGACAGCCTGCTTCACTGTGGTCTTCATCACAGGCTGCAGGGGAATCTCTTCTCTGGTATCTGGAGCACCTCCTCTTCCTCCTTCCTCCTTGACCTTGGTGTCTACAGAGTTGTTTCTCTCACGTTTTCTCACTCCTCCTTCCCAGCTGCTGTTACATAGCAGTTTTTACCCCTTCTTAAATGTGTTATCACAGAGGTGCTACAAACCTCCCTGACTGGCTCAGCTTTGGCCAGCAGTGGGTCGATCTTGGAGGTGGCTGGAACTGCCTCTGCCTGACATGGAGGCAGCTTTTGATGTCTCCTCACAGAAGTCATCCCTGCAGCCGCCCAGCTACCAAAAACGTGACACGTATACCCAATACATTGGTGCACAGAGAGGGTTTAATTAACAGGATACCTGATAGAAAAGCCTGCAAACAAATAAACTTTTGTACTCAAATGTAACAATGTAAAGGAGAGAGTGGATATATTAGTAAAAGCTCTGTGAACACTATACAGCATAGGAGTTCAGAATACTGTTGGATAATCCAATTCCATTTGGTAATCCTGTTCTCTATGCTTTGGGGAAGAGGAAAAGCCAGCACAGGTCACAGAAAATATGGCTCAGAGGCAAGTGAGACAATCAGTATTGCCTGGAAGTATAAAATAGGCAAAAGAGTTGATGGCATCCAGTTGAAAAACATCTTTTCCCCCAGTCAAGGCCCTCACTCCAAAAATGAAACCTTTGGGAGAAAACTTGAAATACTTACAGTAGTTACTTGCTTAACAAAGCCAATTGTTTATTTTCAAATGATAAATACTATTACATGTGATTCAGTTAGTAGGTAGGTAGTGTATCTGTTTATGATCATTTTTTGTAAAGATCCCAATGACTTTGAAAAGGGGGTGTGTGTGGTACTGGTTGAAGGAAAGGGTACCAAGTATCCAAATGCAGCAGAGTCTTGTTTATAAATTTTTCCTTTCAGTTCAATGAAGCAAGTAAACTTTATCATCCATTTTAAGGAATGAAGTAACACTATATTTTATGTCTGAATTTTTTCACAGACCAAGACTAAACCCGTACAGATGATGTTTCTGAGAGATGCATTTTTGATATACCATGAAACAACCATGAAATTCAAAATCATTGAGCTGCCATATGTGGAGAATGAACTCAGCATGTTTGTTCTCCTACCAGATGACATCAGTGATAACACTACTGGTCTGGAGCTGGTAAAACTGACCTACTGTTGTATCACATACGCTATAAGACAGTAACAGAAAAAGATGAAAAAGTGAGGAAGAATGAGCTTCAAAATCACAGTAGAATAGGTTCTGATATCTAACACCGTGATTTATCAGCTTAGGATTCAGGGCATCTGATAACATTGCAAACATAGTATTTTACTTAGGGATACATCTAAAAACTATGCCCACACAACTGTCTTAGACTATTTTGTGTCCTCTTTTCTACTGACAGAATAGCACAAGGAAAGCAAGGACCCAATCTGAATCACTATGCCCTAGAGTTATCTTCTCCTGAGGGCTGTATTAATTCATTTTTATGTCATTTGCTGTCTGGATTTGCACCGGATATTTTGCGGTGAAGTTTCTCAGACTAAGTGCTGACTACCCTGACCCAGAATGTTATCAACAGCCACTCATGACCATGCCAGGATCAGTTTCAGAGTCTAAAGAGATCAGGGCAAACATCTTTTTATCTGAGATCTCATGCGTTCCACTTATTTACAACTGCTACGAGAAAAGTTATCCATATACATACATAGTAAGCACATAATAATATAATGATGAGTCACACATTGCAAAAATGCAATATTCTTTACACCAGAAAAAAACAAACATGTTCTGAGGCTTCAGGCCTATACCTCAACACCTTTAAGAAAATGAGGAGTGTAAGTCACTTGGCACTCTGCAGGATCATGCCCTACGATTATGGCGCATGTTCCAGCTGTACCCACTGCTTGTATCTGTGATTTTTTTAATGTGCTCTTAACAAGCATTAAGACACTGGTGTGTGCACGTCTTGTCTTTGTCCTTCACATTCCAACTGTTTTGTTCCTCAACTCATTGCAGGTGGAAAGAGAGTTAACCTATGAAAAACTGGCTGAATGGACCAAATCAGCCAATATGATGAAAGCTGAAGTGGATCTGTACCTACCCAAGTTGAAGCTGGAGGAGAATTACGACCTTAAATCCACTTTGAGCAGCATGGGGATACGAAATGCTTTTGATCCAGTTCAGGCCGATTTCACAGGGATGTCAGTGAAGAAGGATCTCTTAATCTCAAAAGTTATTCACAAAGCTTTTTTGGAGGTCAATGAAGAAGGTACTGAGGCAGCAGCTGCCACAGCTGTCCTGGTGCTGAGATCAAAAGCACCAACAATGACTTTTAAAGCTGACCACCCCTTTCTCTTCTTCATTAGACACAACAAATCACAAACCATCCTCTTCTTTGGCAGACTCTGCTCACCCTAGCCAGTCACTCCTTGCCCTGCAGAGCAGGAGGTGCTCGCTTGCCAGCAAAGGCAAACGGAAAAACCTGAAACACCTTCTGCAACAGGGGAAATGGGACCTGAACCCCTTTTCCATCAGACCATGCACCCCAGGGCCTGAGGCACAGCCCCTCCTGTGCCCCTCTCCTACGCTGAAGGGACAACCAGGGGAGTGCACGGTGCCTTAAAATCCTGGTTGTCATTCTGTCCAGTCCACAATGGGTAGCTCTGTCCTAACCACTATTAGCTATGGCATTTCTATCCCTTCCCCTCACAGCAGCGTGTACAAATGTATGCGAACACAGCCCCTCTCCTCACCCTCATGACTAGAGCCTCTGATCCAGATGTAATTTTAGCACTTACTCCCAGCCTGCAGCACTTAGACTCAGCTCCCATTTAAGCCCTTGATCCAGTCCTTGCATTACAGCTGGAGGCAGACCCTCCCTACCCAAGGCCCCTAGCCATCCCCTTGCCATCCTTCCACATCCCAGCTATAAATCTTCATCAGCTCCTATTTAACCTCAAATTAGCTTCACATGTGACTCCACAGATTTCCTCAAAAAAATAAAAATACACCTCTATAAGCGCTATTTGCCTCACTCAGACCCTCAGGTATGTGAAGAAGGGCCAAGCTCGCATGGTCTCTGGCTACAGCAACTGCTCACTTTCGTTGAGAACAACCGCCGCTGTAAAAATAATAACAGCAATAATCACTCGTGGATTGAGGGTATTTTCTGTCAGCTCCGCCACAAGAGGGAGGCACAGGTGGAAAATCGGCACCTGTGGCGAGGCGAGGCCTGGGGAGATATAAAAAGAGGGTGAAGTATTGCGCGGCTTTTCCGCGACGGCGCGCGGCGGCCATTTTGCCTCGGGCGGCTGCGTCGCTTCCCCGTTCGCAGCGGCCAAGGGGGAAGCGGCGGCGGCCGGAGCCCGGGGCGCGGCTGAGGGGGCCGGGCTCCCGCCCTTTCCCCCCGCCCGGCGATGCTTCCGAGGGAGGGCGAGGCGCCCGGGAGGGTGAGTGCGGCGGCTCCGCTCTCCTGGAGATACCGTTTTCTACGGGAAGCTTGCGCTTCTGTTTGTTGGTTTTGGTTTTTGGTGTGGTGTTGTTTTTTTTTTTTTCTTTTCTTTTTCTTTGTAGTTACGTTTTGCTTTATTTTTCTTCTTAAGAACTAGCGGCTGCATGGTGTTGCTTCCGTTATTTTTTTTTCTTCCGTGACGTGATTTCTGCTTCTTGTCAGCTGGAGTCCCAGTGGCGTGTCGCAGTCACATCTTATGCATAGGAGTGACGCCCTTTATGGTCCGGTGTCCAGCTCTGAGGCAGAGGGGGTTTTTATTTGCCCTGGGGAGTGCCAAGCCCTTGGCTTCTTGGGCCTGAGCTCGCAGGGACGGTGTCGGTGGTGGGGCTGAGTCATCCTCCCGTGTCCCACCGCCTGCCCCTGGGGGGGGGGGGCGATGTGAAGAGCCGTTATCTGGAGCTGTCGGCAATCTTACCTTGCTGTTTAACATCACTCCCAGCTCTCCAAAGCCTAAACGGAGCCCTTTTTCCCCCCAAACCCCCCTTGCTTTAGCCCTTTTCCCCCCAAAAAAACCCTTTGCTTTAGTTCAGAGGGTGGGAAAAAGGATGTCTGTGCGGCAGACACAGCTCCCTCTGTGGAGGTGGGTGCTGCCTGATGCTCAGTTCCTCCTCTGGCTGTGTTTGAAACAGTTGGCTTGGGACTCCTCCGAGGCACTCCTCTGAGGCGAGGAGGCGTCCACATGTACTGGGTGCTAATCCGTGTTGTAGGCTTGGTAGGATGTGTCCATGGGCTGCGGGCTGGAGGAGAGCTGCACCCTGCTCTGGCCGGGTTCCCCCATGGCAAAACTGGTATTTGGGAGGGACACCGCGGTGCGTATTTGCTGTTAGTCGAGATAGAGCCTTTCTGTCCATAAAGACTGTCCTAAAACATAGGTGTCTACTGCTGAGAATATATGCTTCAAATTCATAGTGGTAGGAGCATACGGGGTCAGGGCATCCAGAAAACTCCACATCAGCGCCTCACTAGTGGCCTGCAGAGCCCGTGGGCAGACCAGGGTGAGGAATGAGCTGCTGGCAAACCCTCTGATCACTGAGGACTTTGCAGCAAACAGTTTGCAGCAACTGACAAATATATGCTTGTGCATATCATACGTTTTTTGTTCCTTAAAGTGCAGTCATTGTGTATCATCTACAAAACCCTTCTGATGAGAAAGGTATCTGTTGGTAGTTATGTTGCTATTCCTGAGCCACAGTGAAAGTATGGATAACTGTACAGATACAACTCCTAGCCTTGTGTCCCAGCTGTTGAAATATTACTTACAGTTTGGTTAAATGCACTGATTTTCAGATAGCTAAATAGTGGGAGTTGCATCCTTTTGTCTGTAAAGCCTTGCCTGGTATGGAAGCCCTACAAAAACTTTGTAGGTAATTACTGCTTGCTGCTGTCACTATTCTTGTGCATTTTGACCTCCAGGTCAAAAAACCTTATTGCTAGCGATCTGGGACAGTAAGAAAATTCTGGTCTTCACTGCAAGGAACATAAAACAGAAAATTCTAAGTGCCTTAAGCTGTAAAGTACATGTAGTTAAATTATTCATTTCAGATAGTATTGGAGGATTGTTTTCACCTGAACTGTTTGCTTGGGGTTTTTTAGCTATGAGAGAAGAGAAAAAGGAGAGGAGTTGCTAGTGTTTATAGCGAAGCTACTAGCAAGAAATTTTCTTAGGTGGAAAATCATGCATGCAAAACCTTGTTCTTTCCACCTGTTTGTTTGAGATAATGAATCAGTAGTATGAATTAGGTGTTGGTTTTGTATTTTGTAGCAACATATCAACACCAGGCGCTGCCCTAAGGGAGGAACAGAAACTTCTACTACCAGATGATGTCTTACGATGTCTGATGATACTTATCTGTAGTTAACTCAGCATTCTAGTATTTATTGCTCCTTTTATTGGTACGTGGTTTATTCTCAGATTGACTACCTACCCAGCTGATGTATGTAGAGTATGACAGGCATCAAATTACAAATGTTGAAGTGTGCATGTACCAAAGTTATCTATAAGCAGATTTTTTTTGTGTGTGCTGCTGTGTTGCAGGCAGTAAAATGAAACTGAAAAGGACTTTGATTTTAATTTGTAGTACAGCAGGAAATTACAGTAATCTGTCATGCTGACCAAATAACATTTGTCTTTTCTTTTTTGATCTTGTAGGTCAAGTCATTCTGTTGACTTCTACCGGGCTGGCTGTTAGGTTTAAAACACAGTGTGGACGTGTATAAGTAAACTGACGCTAATACTGAAGATCTGTAGACTTAGACAAGGTAAGAGTTTATAATTCTGCCATTCTGATGCCTAACATTTTGCTCTGGTTTTCCTAGAAGGGCAAGTAATTGTCGCTAAGTCAAAAGAGACTTGTTTTAATGAGTCCTAAACAAAATACTGTTATATCTGATCATGTCAAAGGAAGTAATATTACTTACCTAGTGAAGAGTCTAGTGACACCAGTGGGAACTGCTGTCTCTGTCACAGGTATGGAATTGAAACACAAAAGCAAACAATAAATCCCTGAAGTAACTCAAGTGCTTAGTATGGGTTTTGAGGTACTCCTTCCACCAAATCAGTTTTTCAGTGAGTTGATTATTGTCAAACCTAATTATGATATTTCCTGCATAGTTTATACTGGGAAATGTAAAAGCCAGAAGTAACTTACCAGTTTATATTCAAATAAATTTGAGCTGCTCTTGTTCTGTGTTTTATTTCCCAGGCTCTGAACCATGGACAGCCTCAGTGCAGCAAATACCACTTTTGCGCTTGACCTCTTTAGAAAGCTGTGTGAGAACAAAAGTAGGCAAAATCTATTCTTTTCTCCTTTTAGTATTTCTTCTGCTTTGTCTATGGTTTTGCTGGGGTCGAAAGGTAACACCGAATCCCAAATAGCCAAGGTATGTTTAAATAAACTTAGTGTATTGAATTTGATGGGACCATGTGAAGAGCAAACCTGTATATTATAGTATGTGACATCCACTTACATTAGACTATGTTGTCAATCTGGTTTCAGAGCAGAGGTATTCTTTGGTATGTATGTGAGCAGTACCTGTTCTTACTGTTTTTATAGGGGGAGCTTCCTTTGGTATGTAATTAAGAGGTTCCTGGTTTTTTGTTGGATGGGTTTTTTGAGACAGATCTTCCTTCAATATGTCATTGAGGTACCTGGGATTTTTTTTGTAGGCTTTAATCTCTGTCTACATAAAATACTTTCTTCTACTACTTTTTTTTTTTGACCAAATATCAGACTACACATGTTTTAAAAATGTAGCCAGGCACATTAAAAAAAATTAAAAATCGACCCTGTATGCATGTCAGTGGTAGCTGTGCCTTAGTTTAACTTGCTGAGGTGACAGATACCACTTGGCATATTTTTTACATATGCAGTTGATAGTATTAAATGCATAATCAGTCATTTTTATTATGTTTGCCTCTTTTAGCGAAGTGGGAGTGTAAACACCATTTTGTTTTCATTTAAATCTATAAAAATTTCTCCAAAATTGTATATTGCTGCCATACTTTGAGATATTCAAAAGCTGTTTGGATATAGTCCTGGGCTACCAGCTGTAGATGGCCCTGCCTGAGCAGGGGAGTGGTACCAGATGACCTCCAGAGGTCCCTTCCAACCTCAACCATGCTGTGATCCTCTAATGATTGGCTTGAGTGAAGGAAACTAAATACTGCTGACTCTTCTGCTCCTTGCTGTATTAGTTGTACAACATCTGGCTGGGTGCATCATATGTGACTTGCACAGTAAGCGCCATCTGGGAGGTGTGGTGCAAAAACTTTTGGCTTCAAGTTACTGCTTTTAAACCCAAAAGTCATTTAAAAAATAGACTGTGCTGAAGCAAGTGTGTTTGAAGAAAGCATGGGCTTGGTTGAAGATGTTTGTTGTTCTACAGGTGCTTTCTCTGAACAAAGCCAAGGATGCTCACAATGGCTATCAATCACTTCTCTCTGAAATTAATGATCCAAACACCAAATATATACTGAGAACTGCTAACCGACTTTATGGAGAAAAGACATTTGAGTTTCTCTCAGTAAGTAACCATTAAATTTGTGACTTTTTTAGTATAATGTAATTGTATAGTATTTTAGTTGTATTTTAGTATAATGTATTTCCTTTGGACTTGAGGCAGGATCTGGGTTTTCCTTGCCAGATTTTCTAGGTTGAGACCTGTCAACACAGTAGAGTATGCCAGAGCCTGGTACCTGAACCTTGTGGAGAAGCTCCTTTTAGATGACCTGTGATCTGAATGCATAACTGGTGTAAAGCACTATAAAATCCATTAGACTCTAAATCTTCAGGGTTCAATGATCTATTGGTACTTTTGGCTGTGGGACAGATGGTTGATGTATCTCTCTTCCCTTGGTCATATATAAAGATGGTAAAAAAATAATTCTTGCTGCTCTTCATGGGCAGTATTTTATATTTTTTCTGCTATGTAAGTCATCTAGAGATCCTACGGAGAAGAGTACATGACTGAAGATTTTCCTTATGAGAAGATCAAAATAAGGTTAATATGTATTGTTATACATATTACTGTAGATGCTTCCCTAGAAGCAACAAGGTGTAAAGCTCTGTTCTTTTTTTTCCTCTGAGTGATTTACAGTGATTCCTTTTATGAAGAATGCTAGCGTTTCATTTGTCTAGTAGATAATTACATGCATTGTACTCTAAAACTTTGCATCTGTGTAGTAAAGATCTAATTACATTAAATGAGAGAAAGGGGTGGTTTTTTCCTAAGAAAAATCAGTTTACCCTCTAAGCTAAAAGGTTTATATTTGTCTGGGCAGTTTAACAACTAAACTTATGTAGAGAAGCTTGCAAGATCATATGTTCTCTCACTGAAGTAAAAACCCCCCAAACTAGCCACATTTCTCAATTAAGTTATGTGAAACTGTAGCATAATACACAAGCCATTTGACTTAATAACATAGAGTGAACAACTCCTAGTTCAAATAGGTGGTACAAGACCTAATAGGAATGTATCAGACAAAACTTTAATGGCTTTATATGAAGCTGAGGGAGGAAATCAGGCATTTTTCTTTGTGTATTTAAGAATTATATGTGGCTGAATGAGAGTAAAATACATTGCTGTAAAGCTGTTCTGAATGTCTGTGTTAGTCATTTATAGAGTTGAGTCAGAAATTCTACCAGGCTGGACTGGAACAGACTGACTTCATGCATGCTTGGGAGGATGCCAGAAAACAAATAAATGGCTGGGTAGAGGAAAGGACTGAAGGTGAGTGTTTTGCAAAATGCCCTGTTGTGTTTAATGGCAGCCAGGCCTTGAGTAAACAGCTGTTTCAAGGTACAATATTGTGAATTTAAAAAACCCAGACAGTGAGCTCTTGTTCTGTTTGGTACATAATTCTCTTATCTATTGTGTATTAACTACAGAGTAGATGCTATATTAGATAATAGATATATGTCAAACTGTTAAAAAAATAGGTTTTTTTCTTTGTATCTGAAAGGTAAAATTCAGAACTTGCTGGCAGAGGGGATTGTCAATTCACTGACCAGACTTGTGTTGGTAAATGCCATCTATTTCAAAGGCAAGTGGGAAAAGCAGTTCAACAAAGAGAGAACAGCAGAAAAGCCATTTCAAATTAACAAGGTATGATGTGCTAAAATGCTAACAATACACTGTTACTCTGAAATGAATACATTTAACACGGAAGAAAAAAAAAAATCATTCAATTGGGGTTACCTTGGGTGGGCTATATGAAATTCCTCCCTTTAATATGAGCACTCTGTTTAGTTTCTGTTTCACATAATCACAAGAAACTTTAATATAACACTTCAGTATTTTTTTTTTTCTTTTGCCCTTCTTGTTTGTTTGACAGAGGTAGCCCTCTACATAGTTATGGAACTTAGAGCTGAAGAGAAAACAGTTGAGTGAAGCAGTCAGGCTATTTGAGAGTTGTGAACAATTTCACAGAAGTCAGCAAGCTTGATTATTTTAGCATAAAACTGGTGTGGATAAGAAATTTTCCTTTAGGTAGTAGGCAGAAAAGAGTACTTATACATGTGCAGAAACTTCTGAATCTAAGTCTTCAGTACAGGGATTTTTGCTGCATTTCTACCACTGAACTGATCCAAAATAAGTAGGGGGAAAAAGTCTCATTTGAAGACCTTGATGCTATACTTTCTTGCTTTTAGAAGTAGATCAGTACTACTGAAGACTCTGCTACTACTGTTAGCAGGCCATGGCTGCCCCTCAGGATCACCTCAAACTCTGGGTATGCCTCCAGATGTCATTGAAAAGAACTGTTAGCATGACTTCCTTAACTCACCTGCTTAAAAACATTATGCAGAATTGAAGCCCTCATGCCTGACTTCAAACTGCCCTTCCCTCAGTGGTGACAGAGATCTAAGAATGCTTGAAACTGCTCATGCCACTTTTCAAATAGGGACTGTTACTGCTTACCCTGTACTACCTACTACAGCACTTCAGAAACTACTGGACTGACTTGGTTCCTGGCACCTTTCTGTCTCACTGTTGAAACATGCTGAAAAAGCTAGCAGAGTATCCAGATACACTATTCTGTTTTCTTTTCCTTGGACCAGTGCAAACCTAGGACCAGGTTTTAAGATGGAAACACCAGCAGCATGTAGTGCTGATGAATAATCTTCCTTTTGACTCGTGATGAAATAATGTATAGGAATATTGGAAGGTTTGGCATCAGTTTCCTGCAGAGATGTCACACAAAGCCCAGGTTTATAGATTTGTGTAGGGTGCTCTCCTTCATGAGGAGAAGCAAAATCACTGATGTTTCTGTATTGGGTACTGTGCTGTGGTAAGGTCATAACTTAAATCTTAATGTTCCTGTAATAAGACCCAGCCTAGCTCTGAGACTACCTTTTCCTTTGTAAATAGAGAGTGTGTATATATATATATTTTTTTAAAAAAAATATTAAGAGTCTTTGGGATCCAGATAACTATTGAAGAAAGTTGTAAGAGGTAAGGTTGGAGAATGCATATCTAAAAGTAAGTTCCTTAGGTAAGCCAAGGCAGCAAACAACTGCAAATCTTTTTCCTTCTAAAACTAAATGGCTTAAGTTTGTATTTTCACCCTACTAATGACTAGCTACTGACAAGCTGCAGAAGTGTGTGAGTAGGCTCAAATGAGCAATTGGAAATGCCAGGTGTAACCTGAAGTTTTAAGCTAGTTATTTTATAATTTTTCCAGTAGCAAAGAGTAACTTTAGCATCCCAGGAGCCTCTTCAGCATCCTGTGATCTTATTTCTGTGACTCTTTTGCTTCTTACGACTCACTGGATGATTTTCACATGCTATGTGGCCTTTGCTTATACATCCTTTTCGTGTATCGCTGCTGCAAAATAATTCCTGCTGTATCCTCTGTGGGCATTGTTTTAATGGGCTTTGCTTTAAAACCAAAAAACTACCTGTATGTTTATCTTATGAAGGTAAGGGAGGAAGCAATGAAACTCTTAACTGAAATGGAGGAAAATGATGTAAACAGTAGCTGATGCTCCATGTGAAAATGGGAGGAGACAGTAAAGAATGAAATTGAGAAAAGTCTTTCCCCTTCTTATTCTCCATATGACTCTTACGAATTCAGAATAAATGCTCTCACTTTCTTGACATTTTTAGTACCATTTTAAAATATTTTAATTCTTCTTTGTTATAGCACTTGGAGACACATGGACTGAAAATGAAAATACCTACACTGAAATTACATGGTATTGATTTCAAGCAAGGAACACAACCACTGCTTCTTGCCAGCTCTATTTAGTGTTTGTCACCAGTTCTTAAATGAGCAAATATGTGTCCTTGCCTCTTGGCCTTAAAGGAAACATCACAGACATTTCTACATTAAGAAGTAAATCTCAGGGATCCTTAATTCTTACCTCTTGCTTTGGAAAAGGCAGTGGTGGGCCTGGACTAAAGTGTATTTAGTTCTTTTTAGTCAAATTCTAAAAAGCCCCGGGTAACTGGATGCCTGTTTTGTGTTTTGAGACTAGCATACTAGCTCAGTACTAACAGTTGACATCTCTTTATTTTTAGAAAGAGACCAAACCTGTGCAGATGATGTTCAAGAAAGATAGATTTAACATGACCTATATTGGGGATTTCCAGATGAAAATCCTTGAGCTTCCTTATGTTGGTAATGAACTCAGCATGATAATCCTGCTCCCTGATACAATCCAGGATGGATCCACTGGCTTGGAAAGCGTAAGTTGTTGAGCTGAATGCAAAGGCAGCCTATATGCTTCCAGGGAAGAAAGTTTGATACTGTATGTAGACCTGCAGTTCTGTTCCAAAGCTGTTGTCATCGGTGCTCGGCACCAGCTGAAATGTCCCACACCTCCCTGCCCCCAAAGTGACTGGTATGCCTCGTGTCACTACTGGTCAAGCTGTGTGCTGCCCCCTTAGCCAGAGGGTCTGGAAGAAGACCTGACTCTCCTCAGGAACAGAGGTTAGCTGTGGCTATGGTGAAGACATAGTGTATGGTGAGCATCATACGTGGTGAGAGGGGATTTGGGGCAGCTCTTAAGACATCCTGTATCTTGTCACATAGATCTTCCATTCTGAACAGCTGTCATCATTTCTTCTGTGGCCTTGCTTCCCATATGTCAAAATGTAAAAAAAAAAAAAAAAACCCACCAAACATGTTTTCTAAAAGTAAACTTTATGTGGAAGGGACTGTTCCTTATTGTATCTTCCAAAAAGCATGTGGGATTGACCTCAGCTGGGGCTGTAGTCTCTAGTGCGAAGTGACTTGCAGTTTTAGCTTGAGACACTAAACCCTGGAAAAAAGATGCATGTTATGCACTATGTAATCACAGTAATCACTACTTCTGGCTGTGTAAAACTGACTCTTCTCATTTTAAGTGTATAAATTTTGGGTATTTCTTTAGCTGGAAAGGGAACTTACATATGAGAAGCTGATGGATTGGATCAATCCTGAAATGATGGACTGTACAGAGGTGAGGGTGTCTTTACCCAGATTTAAACTGGAGGAAGATTATGATCTGAAACCCCTTCTGAGAAGCATGGGGATGGCTGATGCATTCGACCTAGGGAAGGCAGACTTCTCTGGAATCTCGGCTGGCAATGAGCTGGTGCTCTCTGAAGTGGTTCACAAGTCCTTTGTGGATGTCAATGAAGAAGGTACTGAAGCAGCAGCTGCCACGGCAGCAGTGATGATGCTGCGCTGCGCACCGATCGTTCCAGAATTCACTGCGGATCATCCCTTCCTCTTCTTCATCCGGCACAACAAAACTTCCAGCATTTTGTTCTGTGGAAGGTTTTGCTCTCCCTAAAAAGGAGATGTTTTGGCAGAAGAGTTGCTATTACACAATAACTTTCTGTTTCTTTAGAGTAGGGATGCTCTTTTTGTAGTAATTATTTCAGCTGTGTCTGAATCTACTCCTGTGGCCTTCCTCTCAGGCTTGGATAGACTAACAGAGCTACTGAGACCTGCCATGTAAAACAGCTTGCCCTGGGCACCTGAGTGCAGAGGTCTCCAACCTCTTGCTGACACAAACATCCCACTTGCTCAGTGAATGCTTCATCTGTCCTTGCTGTTCCTATTGCAACTCCACTTTTTGTGGCCACCAGGCAGTGAGTCAGTGACATCTTACATAAAAGGAAGAGCTTAAGAATGTTTTGATACATTGCCCAGAGATGAAAGGAGTCTTTGGGGGCCTGTTCCAAGTGTTGCCTAAGCATCCTGACTAGACAGCTTTTTCATAATAACTAAACAAGCACTTAGGCTAGAATGGGAATAAATAAGAGTATGTCTTTTCACCAGATGTCCTTATAGGGTATTCATGGGGTGAGCCTTGGTCACTGTTTTATCACCACAGGATCCCTGGGTTTATTACCTATCACTCAGTTCTAGACCGTTAACAAAGAATGTAATGAAAGAGCACATGATGGCTATGCACTATTTAAATGACAGAGCTTTAACTACTTGCTATTGTTGTATATTTTTTTTCCTGTTCATAGTTAAACAGTTTAACTGAATAACACCAGACAGCTGAAATATCTTTCCTAATACAGTGATTTGTTTTGCTGTTTGTTACTGAAATAATAAAAGAACTGCAAGTGCTGTAAGATTCCATTTCTCCTTTTCAACTGTAAGTTATGCATTTTTTCCTGTAGTATGAAGAAAACAATTATTTCCTGATAGAAGCTGGTTGCGCTCCATGTAGCTTGTTCAGACTTCATTGTTGAACACGGGCTTTTTCAGAATGCAGTGTAACTGAGGTGCTTGCTTGTATTGCCCTGAGGTTTGGGGTTGGCCTTGCAAGGATTTGTGGCCAAGAGCCTTGACAGCAGCAGGGTGGGGAGCCAGGTGTGTGTCTCTGGGCTGGACTGCAGTGCTACGTCTTGGCTTTGTGCAGGGTTCTCCCCGGGGCCTGGTGGTGGCCACCCAGCTGGTGCTCGGTGGCCCTGGGCTTTGCTTGGGGTGGGGTAACTGGTCTCAGGTGAAGAAAATTAAAGCATTATTTGAAGGGGGGACTAAACTGACAGTTTGGTCAGCAGGACGCAGGTGGTGCTGTAAGGGACTGGTGCTCAGCACCCAAAGGGGCCCTATGGGTGGGCTGGGGGCCGGGCCCTGGGGGAGAGAGCTCGGGTTAAACCCGACCCCCCCCCCCACGCTGTTACTTGCTTTACTTTTTTTTTTTTTTTAACGTAAAGATAACCATGGCCTAAAAGCTGAGCGTAACCAGAGCCGCACGCAGGGAAGGAGGCGCAGGCGGGCGGCCGCGGTGCGTTTGTCCCACGGGGGGCAAAGAAAACCCCACTCTTGGATCGCTCGCGCGGGGGGGCGGTGCGTGGGGGTGTGTGTGTTTCCCCTTCGCAGGGAGGCCCAGGCGGCACCCGTGCGGGCTCCCCACGCCCCCGTGGGCTGCTCCGGCTCCGCGGGCGCGCAGGTAGGCGGGGGGGGGGGGGGGCGGCCCTTGCCTGCGCTGGGGCTCCGCGGGGCGGGGGGGCGATCGGGGCTGCCCCTCCGCCCCTGTCCCGCCCCCCCCCCCCCCAACCCCCGGGTGCTTTCTACGGGAACGGGGCGATAACGGGACGAAAAGCGAGGGGGTTTTCCGCCCGTGCTCCCCCGCTGCGTGGGGCGGCGGTTCCCGGGCAGCCGCGGGGTGGGGGCTGTGGAACGGCTGGTTTCAGTGAAACGCTTGTGCACGGGGGCGGTGGTGTAAGTAAATGAAAGTAAAACTGAGCTTTGCATTTGTGCTTGGATTTTTGGGGTGGTTTTTTTTTTTGTTTTTTTTTTTTTTTTTTTTTTTTTTTTTTGTTTGGGTCTTTTTTTACCATAGAGCTAGATAAAAGAACACTGCAAAGATGCAGCGCGTTTACCTGCCTGGCTGTGGAAGCAGCTAGTGTTGTTTTGCAATACCTTGTAGAAAGATTGTGCTGGAAATGCCCAAATTCTGGTGCAAACTCCTCCACGTAGCTGGGTCTGGTGATGTTTCAGAGCTGCTGCCCTGGCTGCGGGGGGCAGATGCGCAAGTGCCTGCGTCTCCAGTGAAACTCCTTGGAGGAAAGAAGCTGGAAACAGCCAAACCCAAGAGGCCCGCTGCAAGCGAGCAAAGGGAAGCAGGAATCTGAGCCGGGTGAGCAGGAAGGTTTTACAGCAGGGAGCTGCGCTGCCGCTAACCCGTGGGTGGGTTTGTGAATGTGACCCGGCCCTCGCACCCCTCGCCCTGCTGCAAGGGCCTCCTCGGGAGCATCCCCCCGAAATGAATCACTGCTCGGGGGCAGCACGGAGCTTTGTCTGCTCTGCCCTCGCTCGCCGGCACGTCCCGTCCCCTTCGGCGAACAAAACCCCGGGCGCGTTGGTCCCTGGGTCGGTACCAGCGCGCAGGTGGCTCGCTGGCCCTCGGCGGGGCAGGCTGCTGCCAGCAGTGGTGCCTTACGCTGCCGAAGGTGAGCGTGTGCCTGAGCCTTTGACGGGATTGACACCTTTTTTTTTTTTTTTTGTGTGGCGTGGTTTGTGCCATGAAGACGGGCAGCTTGCTGGAAGGCGTCTAAATCTCCCCGAGCAGTCAGTGTGAGCGTCCTCTGGGCAGGGCTCGGGTAGAAGAGGTGGGGGGAGAGCTGGGTTTCCGAGGCTGAAGGACTTTAACTTGCAATCCTGGCAGCACACATACTTTTAAGTTAGAAGGCTAAGAATTTTTTAAAATAATGTTTTTAATGTTAGCGTGATAGGGAAAGTTGGGATATACAATCTGGAAAAAAAAAAATGCTTTTTCAGTGTGACTGATTTCTTTTGAAGAGGAAGATGATATGCTGACAATTAAATTCCTGCTGTTTCTGTACCCAGCTGCAACTAGATTAATCCAGCCTTTACTCTGTGAGTCACACGAAGTTAGGCTAGGTTTTTAAAGAGTGTTTCCTGGTGTCCTTACTGCCTGTTTTGTTTTTCAGCTATAACCATGGAAAGCCTGCATGATGCCAACAGCAGATTTGCACTTGATCTGCTCAGAAGATTTAATGAGACCAACCCAACAGGGAATGTTTTCTTCTCTCCTGTCAGTGTCTCTGCTGCTCTGGCCATGGTCCTTTTAGGGGCCAGAGGTAATACGGAGGCACAGGTGCTGAAGGTTAGTTAAAAATAATAAATTCTCTTTTGCTTTATATTTTATTTACATTAACAATTGTTGTGTTTTAGAGAAGGGAAAATGAAAGGGCTGTATTATTTTTATGTGCTCAAGAGATTTCAGTCATGCTCACTGAATCTTCCTTGGACTCCTTTCTCCAGTTACCTTCTGCCTGCTCTGCTCCAGACCCCTTTCTATATTTGCTGTGGCCCTTGCTTCTCATTTAATTTCACTTGTTAATTCTTGAAGTAGGAAACTGCTTTCATTACTTAGTAAGTCTACGTTTAAATTGAAGTTTTCAGCAGCAAGACCTTACTAGTTTTTGTGAGATATTTTGGCAAAACACTATTGCTTTTTAATACATGGTCACCAGTGGTACACTTGTGGCTAATAATACTGTGTATATTGTAAGAAGCAGAATAGTAATATGTAATTTTATATTTACACTGTATCAACTATGGTGATGCTACCTAAGTATCAGTACCTCAGTAACAGCTAGGCACTTGGATATTTTGGAGGAGGTGAGCCCACGTGCTTATTCTTGCCATAGCCTTCAGTTAGGTAGAGTAGTTTAAAAAATGTCACTAAAAATTGCGAAGATGGTGCATGTAGGAGTGTGCCAGTTTCCCCTGCACGGGTGGGACTTGGTCACTGTTATTTTTCTCCATTGTTAAGCCAACGCCTGCTAGTGCAAAAGGGTGTGTGAGACTTGTAGTTATCATCATGTATTTGCCTATGAATAATTTCACCTTTGTATTCTGGACCGTAGGAGGAACTGTTTTATACTGTTGAGTGGTGCTGTGCTTAGTGAATCAGAAAAGAAAATTATTTTCTCACTACTTGTACAAACAGACTTTGAACATATATTTCATGTAATCAAACTGACAGCCCCACCTAGGATAAGCCTGCTGACAGCAGGAAGCGTGCAAAAGGAATTTGGGGGGGGGGGGGGGGGGGGGGGAAGTGTGTCAACACAGTGACCTTCAATAGTACATGTTCTCACACCATAATGTTTTACTTATGAAAACACAGCTAATTAAGGAGGCAGTGATTGGTAACCATCAAGGGCTGCTTGTAAGCATGTAGCAATCTGTTTCTGTGATCGTAATCCTACTGTAAGTTGCCTCTGTGATGTTTTTGCACAGCTATTTGTATGTACAACACAACTTGCATTAATGTGGGCAGCAAGGCCTGACCAAAAACCCAGTGAGACAAAACGAGAGCTTTCCTTTGAATCCAGGGGGTGTTTCACAGCAGTCTTCCCTACTGAGAAATACATCACTTAAGTTTGAACGTGAACATCCCTGCTTTGGTCCAGCCTTCCCTGTCAATGAGGGCTGGCAGTTTCTGCTGTTGAACCTGTAAGCCTTGACCAGCCAGTTTGCCTCTGTGACAAGAGGTACTGGTAAAGAGAAACTGCACTAATGCATTTGATTTTTAAGATGATGCAGTTTTTTATATATATATATAAGCAGTTATATATTCATAAGACCATAAAAGATAATTGTTCTAAGTTTTCTTATCACCTCACCTGTGCTAGTTTTGATTGTATGTTCTGAAAAAGCACCAAGGAGCAGTTCCGTTCATTCTTTGAGGTTTACAGAAGTCTCTCAGCAGCTTCCAGCCTCTTCTTTTCTCTTTCTTCAACCTACCTACCTGCTGGATCAGACCCACCCTATAGATATACTGTATGTAATGTTAAGGCAGTGTTAGTGGGAGCTAGTTCACTTCTTTTGTTTCAGACGCTTCATTTTGACAAAGTTGAAGATATTCATTCAAGATTCCAGAGTCTGGCTATGGATATAAGCAGAAGCAATGCTCCCTATCTCTTACGCCTTGCCAATCGGCTTTTTGGAGAGAAGTCCTACAGCTTTTTGCCGGTATGCTGTTGCAGGTTGTGATGTTGTGGTGGAACCTGGTGGGAGAATGCAGCTATTTGAGCATTTAGGAAGCAGAAATATTTCTAGGCATATTTCTAAATATTACTGGGCAGTCAACAAGTGTTGCATACATGCACATGCATTTCCATATCTGTAGGCATCTGTGCATCTCATCTAAAGGATATTACAGAGCAAATCCTTTTCATTGCTTGTTCAGTTCTGCTGCTCTTGGGCTCAAGAGAAAAATCACTTGTGTAGGTCCTTGGTTTACAGTAGCTATCAGAACATCCCACTCTGTTGCAACCAGCTTTTTAGAATGCAACCAGCTCTATGTCTGTTGCAATCAACTTTTTAGGATGCAACTAGCTGTGTGTCTGTTGCAATCAACTTTTTAGGATTTTCATTGGTCTAGTACCACATTACTTAAAATATTTTTGAAAACAGTGTATTTATTTGGGAGAGGATGCTCAACATGTTTAAACAACATGCCTCTTCACCAGTGAGTTATACCTTTGTGGGTACCTAGGTTGCTATTTTTATCCCTCTTCAGCTCTTTTGGGGAGTTTTGTTTTATCCTACTTGTGCTTGAGCCTGTTTCAGGAGAATGACAGGTAAATATTGCAACATTAGCAGTAAGCACCCCATCAGCAGTATACCTGTCAAATGTACTACCAGGCTTCCTCTGAGAGGCAAAAAAACCAAAACCCAACCCCAGAAACGCCCCAGGCAGTGCACTGTTAGAGCTCCACCTCAGAGTGAGTGATAAGCTGTTTGACACGCACCTTATCAACATCATAAAGAGATACTTTCTTATCTGCATGCAATGATAGCTATTCTTATCTTTCAAAAATCTAGGATTTCCTGACTAATACTCAGAAATTATATGGAGCCGATTTGGCTACAGTTGATTTTCTTCAGGCTTATGACGAAGCCAGGAAAGAAATTAACCAGTGGGTAGAGGAGAAAACTGAAGGTAAACTACGTTGGTTAATAAAGTAACTGGCAGTGTTTCATACTTTGGGAGCAGGAATAGGTTTTATTTTCTGCCGCCTTTAGAACAGTTTAATTTTGCTCCAGGATATTCAATTAATGCATTGACGGAACCAGAAAATGCCTAAGCAAAACACTTAAACAGTTCCCTAACTTCAGAGACATTTGCACTTTTTGTGTTCAGGCCAGTGAGTGCAGGAGAGATGCATAAACATAGATTTATACTCACGAGTTGGAGAATTTGTTTTAGGCCATCTCTGTCCATATTGTATATATATTTCCAAATCCAGTAATCTGAAATGCTAGTGTTTTTTAGTTCTTGTATGATGAGTCATATGTGACAGTTATAAAAAACCCCATATATATATGTATAAAGATACATAAAAAGACTACATTTTCATCGAATTATTGTATATCAAAAGTTATAGTAGAGTGTACTATTAAAACATATGGTGAAGTACTGCAACACACTTCAGTATAGGAATGGAGTTTTGTATTTGTAGTATTTCTATGGCATCAGTTTCTTCATGTATGTTTTATATGCCATCGATTTATTACAAGATTTTGTTGTGACTTTTTTTTTTTTTTCCTGCCCCCTCTGAAGGTAAAATCCCTAATCTGCTACCTGAAGGATCGGTTGACAACATGACCAGGCTTGTACTGGTGAACGCTATTTATTTCAAAGGGAACTGGGCAGAGAAATTTAAAGAAGCTGACACCACCAACATGCCATTTCGGTTAAATAAGGTAATACAGATACATCATGGTAGCATTTATCTAACGAAAAGGTCAAATAATATAGGTGCTAAAGTGAAGGTTTGCTTACAGATAAAATAATGAACAAATATAAATAGAAAGTCTGGCATGAATGTTTTCAGTTCACCCAGAGGTTTATTATCGATTTGAGTATTTTTCTGTGTTCAGCAAGCTCTTTATTCCCTCACTTACTGGAATAGTATCAGTGACAGTTCTCATGTAGAGATTAGGACCCTGCCTGGGCCTAGCAGAGTTTCTGTCTGCCAGCAGCTTCAGCTGCTATGAATTGTGCCTGTTTGTGATGTTAGGTAAACAGTATTAAAATGATTGCACATTTTGGTTAAGTGCCATTTTCTCATTCTATATTCTGCTTATGTTAACAGCTTCACAAGATACTGTGTACAGTCATCTGCTTTATGCTGAACAGAATTGACCTTTGTTGACTATTAACACTGTAATTTTGGGGGCTAGAACAATAAAAAAGTACAGCAACTTGAAGAAATAGTTTCAGTTTCTGCAAGGGCTGTGCTATAGAAGCCAAAGGGGAACCAAATATAATACAAAATCCTTATGTCTTCAGAAGAAACTGTTATTAAACAGGCAGTCAGGAGTCTCACAAAGGCAGTTTTATAATCATCTGATGTAATGGAGGAAGAGTTTTTGCAAGAATGCAATTTTTAACTAATTTGTTTCCTATCAGTTCTTTAGTATTTTCCGAACTGTTACTTTTGGTACCTTTTATCCATCCAGAATGAAAGAAAGACAGTGAAAATGATGTATCAGAAAAAGAAATTTCCTTATGGCTACATCCCTGAAGTGAAGGTCCGTGTTTTAGAGCTGCCTTACGATGTAAGAGAACTTAGTATGATCATTCTGTTACCCGATGACATTGAAGATGACGCCACTGGACTGCAGAAGGTGACCCATCTAAGCTAATGCAGTTATTTAATGGATAATTCAGCCATTCAGAATTAAGGCCTTAATAAACCAATGTTCTCGGAGCCCCATATCTACTGAGCATATTTTTAGACATTGCTTGACTAGCACTGCAGTAAACAATACAGCAATACGTGCGTGTGCTGCGTCAGGAAGAGGAGCTGTGCTCTGGTTTAGTAGCGTGTGTGCGTGGGTCCTTTCGCTTGCTGAGCTGAACCGCGAGGGAGACTGAAAACAAAGTTAACTCTCAGAATTAACTTGCCATGCTTATTCTTTTTAATGACAGAACTTTTCTTTCATCACCTTTGAAAGTCTTTATGTTCTTAAAGTAGTGAGACTGTTTTGCATTAAATGACCAGGAACATACCAGCTTCCTCGAGCTCTCTGATGATTATTTTTTGTTACTTGTTTTTAATTGTGTAATACCATCTAGTTAGATTAAACAGTAAGAACGACTGGGTTTACTTGCTATCAGTGCATGTTTTTCCCTTCTGTACATTGCAGCAAGAAGCAAACGTCTGCATTACTTTGTAAAGTAAAAACTTCACTGGCTCCACTTAATTTTAATAGCATTTGTTAGCTCTGTATGGAGCTGTCAAAGATAGGGGTATGGTCATTTTTGTATAGTTGCTCTGTAGTTGTTTAGTGCTCTATAAAGCCTTGTAAATTTTACTGCAAATGAAATATTTCTACACTGGTGATATGTAATAATCTCAGTCTTTTTGATTCTAGCTGGAAAAGCAGCTGACCTTAGAGAAGCTCCACGAATGGACACGTCCAGAGCATCTATATTCTGCTGATGTTCATGTGCATTTGCCAAAGTTTAAGCTAGAAGAGAGCTATGACCTGAAATCAGATTTAGCTGCTATGGGCTTGCTGGATGTATTTGACAGTAGCAAGGCTGACTTGTCGGGAATGTCAGGGGCACGTGACCTTTTTCTCTCAAAAATTGTCCACAAGGCTTTTGTAGAAGTGAACGAGGAAGGCACGGAAGCCGCGGCCGCCACTGCTGGCATTGCTATGCTCTGCATGGCTATGGAAGAGGATTTCAATGCTGACCATCCTTTCCTTTTCTTTATTCGCCACAACCCAACGCGAAGCATACTCTTCTTTGGCCGCTATGCTTCTCCATAAAAGAGAACTTAGCATTTGCAAATCAGTTCCTGCTGTAGTCAATTAAAGGTTTGCTCCCAAATGAGTTGGATTTTTATGTAAAAAGTTAATGCTCCTGTCCTTCGTTCCTAGTACTTTTGAGATTCTGCCTTTCCCATTAAAACCATCCTAGAAAAACTGGGGTATAATTTACTTATTTATTGAGATTGACACCATCTTTAATAACTAGGAAAATCTTACCTGTAGACAGAAGAAATCTTTTGAAATTGGACTAGAAATATAAATACTCTTGGAAGAAACTTGTGCCTTTTAAAGCACAGGATCACCACCCTCTATGCATATGGGTTTCTCCGTGTTGACAGCCCCCTCTTGTAATAACTTAAAATAGTCCAGTCATTCCTTATGCAGGTATACTAGGATGTTCTTGCAAAGCTGATCCTCCCCTAAAGTCTTGCTTTTCAGTGATACCTTAATAAAATACTTCTAGGTGGCAAAAGGCATGTTCCTGAACAGCTGAGTTTACCCAGTTTGTCTGAAATAGAAGGTCAGATAACATTTGTTTAAAGACAGCTATTAATAGAGAAAGGATTAAGCTAGTTAAACAAAAGTAACCCCTTCCAGTCATTAGCCAGAAAACTTGCAGTACAGCTTTTGAATGAGGGGAAGAAACAAGTAGCAACTTTAGGTAACATGTTTATAGAGAATTTTCCAAATTTATACTCTGGTGCCATTTTAGTTACTGAAAACATGAAAATGTGTCAAGACTTAAGAGGTTTTAGGTGCTTGAAGCTAATGGGTGCTTTTCTGCAAATTGAGAAGCTTTCAGTATGACGTTACATTCTGGCCAGAACCTGTGTGATTCTCAAACAATACTTCAGCATCCCAGAGGATGACTCTGTATAACCTGCAATAAATATGTGATGTATCTGTGTTCAAGGGTTCAACATTTAGTGAGCTGACTTCCACTACCTCTTTATACGCAAATCTTGTGCATTGTACAGCAGCCTTACGCCTGGGAGCTACTGTAATTGCATTCTGCTAGTGTTCTGTGTTTATTTCTGGAGGTTCCTTGCTTGTATCATGTGTGTCTTGGGTACTGTAACATTTACCTGTACAAACTCAGTTCTAAGTTGGGCACAATAATTTCTTTAATTGCAAATTGTATATTAATTTTGTCTTTAAACAACAAATACATTTTTTTTTTCTTAACCTCGTGTTCAAATTGTAAATTTGTGCACACATCAGAGTACAAAATTAACTGTCCATCTGAAGGTTAGCTCCAAAGAAAACCACTGGTGCTGCAGGCATGATCAGCTGTATGAAGTCCTTGGCCTGTTCAGAGTAGGTGAAAATAATAAAACCCAAGTTATTCTGTAGGGGAAATGACTGCATGAGCCATCAGCTTCCCCTGTAAGTATAATGACCCCAGCTGCTCGCACCTACAGAGACAGGGAGGGAGTAAGAGTTTGTATGAAGTGACAAGAGCACTTGGTCTGCACAGGAGTAAACATGTTTCGGTGTGTTAGCCATACCTCAGCTGCAAAGGCTCTGGCAAATTGGTAAAGGAGAGCATGTAGTGCAGAGTGCAGATGTGAGCCTAACCCCTTCTGTGCCGAATGCTTCGCAAATAAGTGAGAAAAATAATAGCACAAAAGCCATGTAAAAATTTGGAACGGTTTGACTTGGGGTTTCTGGGCCTTTGTCTTCAGTCTTAGCAAATAAAGCTTCTGCTGTCATAGACAGGTTTTGACTAAGTAAAGCTCAAAAACTCTATTGCAATTGCATCCTTATCTTTATATGATTAACCTCAGTGAATGCCTGCAAGGTATATGATGTCTAAAGGCTTTTAGGGCTGTAATTACCAGGAAATCAGAAGAAAGATAAAACATTGCATAATAGTACAAATCAGCTTTATAAGGATACTCATGTATTTCTTTATTATTTTAGTAACCGACCTACTATTTTGTGACAAATTTGGCTTACTACAGACAGGATGCACAGGAAAAAAATCTCAGCAATAAGAATCTCAATGAAGTCAGTTTCACATTCAATTTAATTCACATTCATTTTAAAAAATCTAGCAAGCCTACTGGCATATACTCCCCATAATTCATGTCCCACAATAAGATGGTTGTGTTTTTCCTTAATACTCCTTTTTTCCTGTGCTCCTGTCAGAAGAAGTGACTGATAAGGGCTGACTCCAACATGGAGAACTGGAATGCCAACTGTATTCACAGTTAATAATAAGTAAATAAGCTGCTGCTTCAGCGAGGTCATGCGAAGGACTTTATTTTTAGAATTCCTGAGTGAACACTGGTCTTGCTGAGTTCAAAGCATAATAATTTTCAGTATGAGATGGTTTAACTGAGGAAAAAGAAAATGTAATTTTAATGAGTAGATGAGAGAATGCCACATCAGAAGTGTCAATGTAAAATCAGGACCCTAGCCTTAGTTTTAGCTAAGTAGCAGTCATAAACCCACACTCACAATATACAAAATAATACTTTCCATCTATAAAAATGTGTTGTTTATATTAACCCAGGGGACTGCACCATTAAAAAGTCAGACTGACCGCAGTTACATTTCTTAGGAGGGGACCGATCAGTACTTGAGCATGAACTTTGCTGTTCAAAACCAATTTGCAACAGGCTGCTGGCTTGAGAAGACCACGTGAGTTTCTTCCAGTGGAAGAGAGGATTACAGCAGCTGGGGCTCACTTCATTTTGGCCCCTCCTAAGCAGACCAAGCTTCGCAACAATCCAAAAATCAGAGCAATGTTTTCTCACTGTAATGTGATGAGTAAGCCAGACTTTGTACTACTGCTTACACAGTCTCTTTAGGATAGCCCTTTGATTTCAGTAATTTAAAAAGAAAAACCACCACCCACCACCACCATTTGGCAGCTTTCTATCTACCTGATTCATACAGTTTAAGTTTCTCTTCCTAGAAAGTAAATACCACGGTGTGGGTAAGGACACAGTTATCTCTGGGTCTTAAGTCACCTCATCCTAGAGATAAATTTACATACATGAGTTAAGTCAGAGCGTGTTTAGTAATACTTTCACTGTTAAATGTTTTTACGTATATATGACCAAACTCCTGGTGAATTACATAAACCTCATCAAGTCCCCAGATATTTGGAGACAGATATTTGTATTGATTTTTTAATATGGTTTCATCAGACAGGAGTAAGACCAGTGCAATTCACTTGAACCTACTGAGATGCAACTGAAAACAGAAACTGGCTTTTGTTTTGTTTTGTTTTGCTGTAGTGAACCTGTCTAGCTCTGTCATGTCATCTTATGGTACCAACTAAATACACATTCTTATCCGTATTCATTAAAGGGCCTATGCAATCCCTGACTACTTAATTACAATAAAAAACAAAAACCACAGCCAAAATCCTGGAGAGCACAACCTGTTTGGAAACACCCTGAATATGCACAGTGGCTGCTGGCAATTCAGATGATGAATTCATCACATCAGCCAGAAAATGTTGTATCTTCAGGTTAAATAAAACTTCAGACAACCAGCCTGTGTAATCACTTTTAAGTCATATCATGGAAAATGACAGTGTGTCATTTTGGTCAAGAACTTTTCTCTCAACACAAGAGAAAATGCTCACAGAAAAAGGGAAAAAAACGTAGCCCAGAGGTTAACTGAGGATTTAAACTCTTCTGCATGGAAAACAGTACAAGAAAAATAGAAGTAATGATTTCACATAAATATTTAGTATAAAAGCCAGGACAACTCCTTACCAGCTATATCATACAGTTTTTTATCTGTGAGAGTGAAGCTACCTATATAATGGAAACAATATTAATTGGTAATTTTCAAAAAACTGCAATGGAATTAATTTGGGGCATTATTTAATTCCTGTTTCTGGTCTTGCAATCCGTATCTTTCACATTGTTATGCTATTGTTGGGAGAAATAACGTATATTAGTACATCTTGTTTTTCACACGTATTGAATTCCCCAACATGGGCAATGGTGTGGCCTTATAAATAAAAATAATCCTAAATCTTATCCCCAATTTTTTGGTGACACTGCAATATTTGGTAGTTCCTTAAAGCTCTGCATTCTTAAGATAAACACACACACCAGTATGTCAGCGTGTGATTCTTAAGAAGAGACCATTCTTGCCCCTAAGTGAGCATGAAAAGGTAAACCCCAGACACTCAAAAGCCAGAAATCAAAGAAATATACTTCCATATTTTTTAATGTAATTCTTTTATCTTGTACTTTTGAAACAATTTCACTAGGAGATTGACTTCTGCTTGTTGAAAGCAGCATTGCCAATCCTAAGTAGACACTTTACACATCATCCCGAGGGGAGATGGACATTTTTGCCTTGGGTGTGTTTCAGAGGGCCAGGAAATGGTACAGGGTGAAATTACCATTTGTGAGGGCATCTGGTCCTGGTGGGCTTTTTAATGGAGCGTGGAGCTGTGCAATCAGTGGAGCCGACCTTCTTCAGAGGGAATGGAAGAGACGCGCAGCACCCACTCCGATTCCAGTGCAGCATCTTGCTGAACACCCCAGGGAGGAAGGGAAAAGGTAAATAATGCCTCCCTTGGAAAGAGGCCACGAGGCATGCTGGCTTTTGAACTGTAGCTTGCTGTTGCCAACATTTTTAGTAGCCTGCACAACAGACTGCGCTGTCTGATGGAGGTGCCCTGAGGGGCACAACCTCTATTCATGCAGGACTGACAGAAAAACCCACCGGGGGCTGAGGAGTGGAAAAAGCACCTGGGAACGTTTTGCCAAGCTGTGCTGCCCTCTGAAGGCGAGGACAAGCTGCTTAGATTTACTCTAGCACTGGAAAAGCTACCCTGACTAACCCTGCTCTGAAACTGGGGCATGGGAAGAGAAAACCAGTAGTTTCCAAGGAAAGGGAGGAGTAGGGGAAGTAGAAGGCATCTTATCCAGCATACGCAGTAAACTCAGCCACCAGGAAAAGTATTAGTGTGAGTCCAGCTCATATAAAAGGTGAGCTATTAGCTTAACTGTTGGCAATATCCCCTGGCCTAAGATGCTTGTAAGCTCATTTGTCCTGTGCACTAGCCACTCCACGAGCACTTAGTGAAATCCCTTTAGCACTTTGGCTGTTACCCTGTAATATGGCAGAAAACCTGCAGAGCCCCAGGCATCCCCTGTCACGGGTGATGGGAGACACCAGGGACTGGGATCCACTGGGGAGTTCGTCTGCATGATGAATAAAACTGACCTAGGTTCCTAGCCAGACTATTTTTGCCACTGGGAAATTATTAATCAAGTCTCCATAGTACAGTCAGCAGGTTCTACTTATCTTTTAATTTTCTTTTGGTGGGGAAAAAGAGGAAACAGTACGAAGAACCATGGGAAACTCACCCATATACATGGAAAAAGCAGTTGTGACCAATGCAAGAGCAGCTCGATCAAACCGCCTTCCCCTCTTCCACATCAAATTTGCAAGATACGTTTTATGGAAACCCAGGACTCTGTCTTACCCCATGCTATACCTACTCAGCTCCCTCCTTTTAAGCCAAGCTTGTCTCAGCAGCAGGTATGGGGACCAGCATGGGAGGACTCACCGCTGCTGTTCTGCTCCAGTCCTGGAACAGCTGCTCTGGGGGGACCCATCCCCAAGCTCCCAGCCCAGGTCTGTGATTTCAGCCTCAGTCCCGGCTGCTTGGATTATTCTGAATCAGGGTTTCAGAGGTGCCTCCTCACCCCATCACTCCCCTCTGTGTAGATTCAGCTACATTTGTGCAATCAGGAGTCCTCTGCCTGTACTTCCACCCGAACCCTCATGTTCCTCCCTACAGCGTTCAAACGCTCCCAAGTGAGCACCAGACACGATCCCTGGCTCAAATCTACATGTTATGAAAACTTTTCCTAACCCAGATTTATACAGAATCAGAGCCCATTAACTTTTCAGGGGGATCCTATCATGATCACATCTTGCCTTATTTCACCATGTGCCTTTCAAAGGACTAGCAGGATAAAAAAAGATCTAATTAACTACTATGTTAATTCAAGCAACAATAAAATTCCAACCAGACAACAAAAACAAGTGAATTATGGGTTAAAAAGAAAAACATGCAGATTTACACAAATGAAGCTTGTCGAAAGACTTTCTTGTCTTTAGAAAGACACTTTGCTCAAAGCTTTCAAAAACTATCAGTATTACCAGCTTCTGGGCCTCATCAGGTGCTGCAGAGAGACACCAAGCCTACTGCCAGTTTTATAATCCACTGTTTAGACAAGACGGGGCAGCTGTTGATCAAAACCTTTGGCAATGTGTGTCCAACCCCAGAAGAGAATAGTTGTGACATATTTTACAGCTGAATTATCTTGGTAGTTTCAATTTCTTGCAATATATACAAGCTAACGTTACCAAGAATAAGAGTCTGAAATGTCTCAGTAGTAATTCTAAACCTGTCTTCACACTTTGCTGGTATTCCTCATCACTAAATCCCCTGTCTAGCATACTCCATAAGCATGCATTAGGAATGTCCTCCAATATCTGACCCAAATAGCAACATTTTATATCCTCCAAATACTAGCCCAGCAAAAACAAAATACACCCATGTTTTTGTTACTGCTTTCAGCATCGGTTAGTAAGTAAATCTTGAGTTAAACTGGTCTTGAAAAAAATAATTATAGCCGACTAATGGGTTATAGCCAACCAATATATCCTCTGTTCTAGGCAATGACTTCTCCTATGCATGCCACGATATAAATTGTAATATCTAAGCCCTCACAGATACGGAAAGCCTTATTCCTTGTGTTGGTACACATATGACCCTGTTCAGTCACTTTGCATTCAATCTCAGAGCTCCATGAGTACTCATCCGGATATCATACACTGTATCATGAAAGGCTGTGGAAAAGTTTTACAAAGTGTGAGAAATTCTTCCCCTTCAAGGCAATTTTTGGTGTTATGTATTTTACTATTCTGGTATTACCCTGAAGGTGCTCATCTGTTTGTTTTGTTGTTGTTGTTGTTTACTTTTTGTTTTGTTTGTTTGTTTGTTTTGTTTTTCCCCAAAAGTCAGTTAATCTTTATTATGGGACATACACTGTAATTCTTTTTTTTTTTTTTTTAATTTAGTCATATCATGATTTCAGCCATCTCAGTTGTTTTTTACCAGATAAAACACAATGCCCCTGCTAGACAGCTGAAAGACTTAACAGTTTAATTTATGGTTTACAGTTATAGTATTTTCTCTGTAATATGAGGAATAAGGGATGATCCTTTGTGCATACTTAATATAACAATCTTCTGCAACTTCCATTGTTGCATAACTTGTCTGTAAAATCACAAGACAGACAATACCTACATCTCCATTCCCACATACCCATTTAAGTCATTATCTTATCTATTAGTATAGAATACTTCGTTTATTACCGTCATGATATATCTGACCTAAACACTTTTTTCCTGTAGTTTTTAGAGAACTTGTAATTTGGTCCATGAACAGGCACAGCCTCATCACTAGTAAGGGAGTGTGGAAAATAAATCCATTACCCTTTTTCCTTAACATCACAGCACATTTTAAAATAATATTTATGTATCCTGTCACATGTTGTAGATGGAGGTGTGAGTCAGTAGGTGAGGAAAAGACCCACGCCCCGCATAGGGCTACGGGTCTTTGTCTTCTTCCAAATACCAGGAGGAGGACTGCCAAGTCACAGAAAACTTGCAGTGTAGCACTGTATGGATACTGCACAAATGCTCAGAGGCCAACAGTGGGAGAAAGGAGCATGGACTAAGTATTTACGAAGGGAGAACCTACAGTCTGTTCAGACAAGGGCTGAAAAAAAAAAAAAATTCTGTGTTTGCTTGAAACACAAATCATATCAATTACAGAGAATGTATAAGTATCGCCCCTAGACCGTCTTTCCCCTGGAAGCCCAAGGTATTTGCTGCATTTGTTGCACAGACTATACAGCATCGTTGCAGTTTCCTGTCACCTTCAGCTCTTGCTTTTATTGATGCAGAAATTTTCAGGCCACTTTCAAGGGGATAAACATCTACAGTCAATAACTACTTCTAAGGTACTCTGTCTTACCTGCAAGCTTCTTAGTGCCCCCCACTCTCCCCATGCGGTAGCATATGATAATTTTCCTCATTTCAGCCACAAGCTCAGCGATGCCGATGTTCTTCCTCTGCACGTTCCTTGCAGGACAGAGACAGGACCATCACAGGAGCACTAAGAACAACAGGAGAGACTGTCTCTGTAATTTTGCAGCGATTGCAAGCAACTCAGAGGAGATACCACAGAGAAAATAACGATCTCCACACAGCTGGACTGGCTGTAGCCTCTACAGTCACAGACCTTTTTGGCTGATAGAGACTATCAGTTAAACTCCACCAAGCCTTTGCTGTGTGCAGACCTCCACAGAGGATTTTCGTCGGGTCCACCCTGAATACACCGAGCTGCTCCAGAGCAGGGGGGCACTAGAGGCAAAACGCACCATTATCGTGCTGCAAAACTTCTGTGCAACTTTTGCTGTAACATCTGGGACACGATTTGTTGTAACAAAGGATGTTTGGCCAAGTCTTAAATAACTAAAAGAAGAGCTGTAAATAGAAGGTTTAAGGCTTTGAGTAAACATTTTTGCCAATCACAGACAAGAAATTAGTCTGGGGTTTCCTTTGGGTAAAACTTCATAGTGAATTAGATTTGAGCATTAGTAGGCACTAGCAAAGTTAAGAAAATCTGGTGAGGTTATCCCATTCTTTTTGATAACAGAAGTAAACAAGAATGGAAAAATACATCAGACTGCACCAGCCTAAGACCTCTAACTGCCAGGTGCGTCCAAGGGAAGCACATCAACCTCTTGTACACCTGTAAGACAGAAAAACATCTTTACCAGTCCATTAATTTGATTTGTTTTGCAAGCTGGGGTCATTTAAAGAATTATTTATGTAAACTCTGTGTCTTAAGAAGTAAAATGAACATTGGTTGACAGCACAGGTAATTTTGACAAGAGTATTTTGGATTAACATATTCTGTTTTCACCTCTGTTCCCATCTTTCTACCTAACTCAAAAGGGCAGACACAAACTCAGAGAGCTAGCTCCTACCCTGCTAAACCGTCCTGCTGTGAAGAACAGGGGCACTTACTTGAGAAAGAAAAACACATGGAAATGTTTAAAGAATGACTCAAAGTCTCTACGCAGTCATGCAATCAGTTTAATTTCTGAAACAAGTATTTCAGTTACACCACGATCCTTGGCTTAAGTCCTACGCTTCTGTCATGCAGAAGAACTTACGTGAAGACTACCTAAGATGTGAGTCTCACAACAAAATTAATCTCCAATACAGTAATCAAAAAGTTTTGCATGCAGTACACTGAAAACCTTCGATCAAGGCCAAGGTCCAGCAATCTATCTTGAAACATAAGAGCAATCAGCTGAATTTCCTGCTGCAGGAAAGTTAAAGTTGGCTTCCTGCCTTGGAACTGCATCCTCAGCCTACAGACCTCCTGGTCTGCAAAAGTTGAACAAACTCCAGATGCACGGCTGTGGCAACCCGCCTGATCCCAGCTCCCTGCAGCACCCAACACAGCAGCTGCCAAGAAACACCCGCCTGCCCTTTGTGCACAGCAGGGAGCTGACCAGAGGCGGCTGGGTCCTGTCACAGGTGCCCAGAGTTTGCTATGGCTCCAAGGCAGAACAGTTTTCCTTTGCCAAAGCAGGAAATATTTATTTACAAATTACATCGGGCAGCTGAATAGAAGTTTTTAAAAATTGTTAAATGTAAATGTGGAATGAAGCACCAGTCATTGTTCAGCAAATGTAACACATCAGAAAAAAAATCAAATGATTCAATAGTATTATTAAAAAAAAAAAAAAAGTCTGTGGTACATCGTCCTTTTTGAGAAGAGTTACTAACCTTCTGACATCTCTCAGGGAAGTCAGTAGAGCCGCCACCTTCTTTCAGCAGGAATGTGGCATCCTTAGTTGAACAGCAAAAGAAGCTATACAGAAGCACTGTAAGTTTTGACCTCATCACATTTCCTAAACTAGGCAGGATCAAGACAGAAATCCTTGAAGTCCACCAGACAATCAGTACAGACCCAGTAGCAAAGGTACACGGGACACGTAACAAGCAAAGTTCCTGAGCAAGTCCAGCTGTAACTGCACTGCTGTACTATGTAGGGGGTCATTTTCAGCCAGGACACACATCCTCATCACTGGTGGCCAGTTTACTCCACAGAACTTTGACAAGTGTGGACAGTTGCCCCTGTGGCTGGCCCAGCATTTCAGTAATGAAAATCTTCTTCTCTAATTATCTGCTGTAATTCTAGCCAAACACGGTCCTCTTCTGCTACCCAACTGCTAGTTAGCAGAGTCCTACGTGGTTTTAGCAGTTGCTGGCTTTTCAGCACACTGGACCACTGCATACTTAAGGACGATTGAGGAGAAGAAAAATAATCAGCACTTAAGTGAAGGAATGTTGTCAACATCAGGGACGCTGCCACGACCGTACATTCCACTTACTGAAATGTTCAGTCAACAGCAATCTTGGATCCGGATATGTTTTCAGTAGGAAGAAGAAGCCAAACTCTCTATTATAACAGCAGTAAGTCAATTTGTGTCTCTCAGCTTTCCAATTTAAAACTAATGGGAGACCCAACGCACAACTGGAAATACATGAGTGTGATTCGCTACCAGGAATCTCCTCTCTGAAAGCATTTCCCAGAAGATCATCACACAATAAAAGTTTTAAGTGATACAGCTTCAAAAACCAACATAGTTCAGCTATTTTCATGGCTATTCTACTTTCAAAATTATTTAAACATGCTCTGGAAAGTATGGATGATAAAGTTAAAGGAACCTCAAACTTCCAAAACCACACCGTTGTCATAAGAATATTTAAACAAATGCATAGACACTATTTTTAACAACTTTATTGGTTTACTAAATGTTGTTGTACAAAATTAGTCTCTGGAACATTGTAAGAGCAAGAATTACACTGTAATTATGTTCTGTTTACTGTATTTTAGCAGGGGTGGTACGACTTACAGAAAGTAAACAGTCTCAAAATCTGAAATAGATAATTGATTTTAAAGAGCAGCACAATAATATTCCTCGTCTCACAGCAAGAGACAGAAATACAAGTGTCTCATTTCTTCTCCATTCCATGTGGCCCAGAGGGGACAGCACTATACTGATAAAGCTTAACTTTTCATTTCTATACAGCCTAACTGCAATTCTTTACAGAACACCTCCAGAATAACAGTAGTAAAACCAGGAGAAGAATGTAGTATCTGAAGGGCTCAGTGGTTTAATACTTTCAACCACAGTAAGAGATGGCTGCAATTATAAGAGGAATTTCCATCCCAGTACAAATGGACAAGTCATAAAAATCAAAACCCAATCAGAGCAAGACCGTCACGTTTTTCGTTCCTTGAAGAAGTCTGTTCCTTTCAACTCTTCTGGTAGATAGTCCTGCTCTACAGGTTCCTTGTACATGGGGTTATATTTATAGCCTTTACCATAGCCCAAGTTCTTCATGAGCCTTGTTGGAGCATTCCTCAGGTGCAGTGGAACCGGCGGCAGAGGTCCCGTGTGAGTTCTCAGACATTCTTTGACATTGTTATACGCCCTGTAGACTGCTATAGACTTTGGTGCTCTGGCAAAATACACTACACATTGTGCTAGAATGACCTGGAAAGAAGAAAAGGGAGAATGGTAAGTGACTTCTTTTAAGCTATTTGGGAAAAGGTCTGTTACTCGGGTTGTTTGTGTAGTATCACAGGGATTCTGTTTTTAAACTGACCTCTGCCAGCTGCTGCAATATGAGTATTACTATTTAACAACAACACAGTTTGTGATTTTCACTATTAGAAAAGAATAGCTAATTTAGAACATCAGAATGTATCTTATTTCATAGCAGAGAAAGAAAATGGACAGAGCAAAATGATGTTAGTTCACACACCATATTTTAACAATGAATATGTGGGGAGTTTAATTTCGAACTAAAGCATCTTTTTTTAAGAGCTATAATCGTCTCTTACTTGTCAGAGAAGGGGCATGCCTAATGAACAAGTAACTAAATTTGTCTTGCCCTTGAAACCTGTTTCTTTTTAAAATTACAACTAGGTTTTACAATTTGTAGTACTTTCAAAGCAGTGAATTAACAAAGCCTTTACCTCACATTCTGGCATTCCAATAAAGTGACAGCCTTGATAAGCAGCAACTGCTTGTGTTAAAGCCAGAGGATCTGCCAGCCCTATAAAAAAGGGATCAGATAAAAGCAGGTTAAAGTCAGTTTACTTTAGTTACAGTCTTTTTTTTTTTTTTTTTTTTTTCCTTTTTTCCCCTCCTCTGAGAGGGAAGGTTATCCATGCACATTTCAAAGTTGCTTTCTCAGATGCTGGAACTTCTGGTACAATACTTTACTGTACGTAAGATGTACTCCCTCCAGCCACAGCCTTCCTCCTTCTGTCCCATTCCCACCTCCCTCACCCTCATCCCCCCCCAAAGAAAGGTCTAAACCACAGGTATGATTTACAGTCTGAACCTTTTGCCACACGGTGGCAGCCTGAGCAGCAGCTGCCAGCGTATGATTTGCTTACTTTCTGGAAGTGAGAAAGAAATGGGGAAATATTGCTATATAGACATAGCTTCCCCAGATCTTGTAACTCTCCACCCACCACATAGGTGCTAAAAGTGTTGCTGCACCTGTTATTCTGGGTATGTCAATCAAGATGTCTTACAATTAGGGAGCCAACTATCAAATCTGAAATTTGCAAGTCAAGGTAGACATTCACTTTCCACAGTCATTAAAAAAGCAGACATCCCTGAAATACACATTTCTGGTCACACAAGTTTACTGGTGACCTACAATCACCAGACTTTAAAAGAATCCATATCAATACACTGTCAAAATCTGACCTCAAAAAGCTTTGTTTCTCCTGCAATTGGTAATCATCACAATGACACCACGTGTAGGCCCTTGTCTGCATATACAGTTTTTGTTGGATGTAGAACATTTCAGCATTTTGCACCTATTTTTCATATAGCAGTTTTGGGGTTGTTCTCTTCTCAAATGCCAATTTTTGGAAACCATAAGCCTGGCAGATCTTCATTCAATATAATATTCCAACATGAAATACTTACCTATATCTTCACTTGCAAACCTCACCAGCCTCCTCGCCACATAGAGTGGATCCTCACCACCTTCAAGCATTCGAGCAAGCCAGTAAAGGGAAGCATTTTCATCTGAGCCTCTCATGGACTTATGCAGGGCCGAGATGCAATTGTAATGTTCTTCTCCTATTCAGAATGGGGGAAAAGAGATACACAAAGCTGTAAGGAGGGAATTAAGGGAAATGTATTAAAGGGAACAGAATATAGATCACAGCAGGTAAACATAACCTGCTTTTTCAAGTTCTTTTTCTGTATGATTATGGTGTTCAATCATGTTTTTAATACCTTCATGCTTTGCCACATGGATCATTCCACTAACTACATAAGCGTTACAGAGCAGCTGCAGATGAAAAGGAAGGTGCTTTTTAAACATTCCAAGGCAAACAGTTTTGGTACCCTAATGACCTTTCCTTCAAAAATTAAAAAAACAAACAAACAAACAAATGGGTATTTTAAGCAGTTAGGAAGAAGACTCTATATAAAAGTATCTCCTAATTGACAAAGAGTAAAGTATGAGCACACACAAATGACTGACCATTGCTTCTGGATACTCACACAGCTCTGAGAAGGCAACAGAAGAATCAGAGAAATCCAGTACTACACACTAGTGATATTTTAGAAAAAGAAATTCCACATCAACTAAAACTTGGAAATAAAGTGTGCAGTTAAATCAAACATGAGTTTGCTGTATTATAAAGGGGAAAAAAAGGAAACATTGTGGATATACAATGACGGCACATCACACAATCTGAAGGAAACAGGATCGCAGCGCGCAACCCTGGCAAACCCCTAAAAAATCCTGAGTTCAGTTGTGGACACCTGCACTACTGGAAGGGTCCTGAAAACTGTTAGCAGCTGAAACAAACAAACAAAAAAAAAAAACTGTGAACAAAACCTGAAATGCCAGACTGCTAAATAAGAAGTAGGAAGACTGAATTAATTACCAGGATTTTTTTTTAACATTAAAGTTTAATATAAGATTAGATATGGACTCTAAGGAACAACAAAGCCATTCCACAGATCTTTTAGAGCTACAGTTAAAAACAGAGGGTCAACATTACAAATACTGAATGAGACCCTTCTTGCTTGCAAGTTTTCTCTATGCAGCTGGTTTTGATTCTTATGCAGTTCTTTTAATCAAGCTCATAAGAGTATTTTGCTGCAATATTGTTGTTAAACTTTCCAAACAATCTGCCTTTTTTATTTTTTAAAGTGCCCAGCATTCCTTGGCTCACAGCTAACTCTGTATTATAAAGGCAACTGGCTGCATGCACAGCCATCTGTTAATATTTCTCTTCTTCCTACAGCTAAAAGGATTTACAGCCCAAGGGCCGTATCAGAACACATCACCGCCGCTTGTAGGCCCTGCAAAATAAAAGGCTGCACACATGAGTCTGAAAACTAAAGCCCCCATACCGCTGCAATTGTTCCCTTCAAAGCCAGCAAGACCTTCACCAGCCAGGTCAGAAACCGGGTCCATCTTCCTGCGTCACTGCTCATGCTGCACTGTGGTTCTGTGGGGAATTCAACACACGCGCTGCCGGCGTACGCAGGCCAGCAGACAGCTATTTTTGCTAGGACTCCACACAAAGAGCCCTGTGGTATGCAGTCATCACTTGTGCCAACACAAACAGCATGTCCGTGCTCTGTCACAACACTTGAGTTAGCAGCAATAAACCCAAGCAGCTGAACTCGCATCGTCCTCTTGGATGAGGCGTCTCCTGGTCTCTTAAAAGTAAAGCCGACAACCTTTAAATACCTCCAGAGGTTGCACTCGCCCAGGTTTTTTTGCTGGAGTGCTTTTGTACACTGTTTGGGCTACTGTAAAGTGTCATACCTGGGGGATGGCAGCTGGAGGGGCAGAAGGAATCCAGCAGATAGGTTGGGACTAAAGATACATACCTGCAGGGGACTTCAGAGTGCGCAGGCTGAGAAAGGGGACAGTTTTCTACCTTCACCTCCTTCCTCACAAAGGTCACGTTGGTGACCGAGTCATCAACATAACGACAATCCTTATACACCAGACTTGGGACTTCTTCAGAAAAACTGTGCAGTTGTATTTTAAATGCAGTTTCAATTAAAGGCAAAATACTTGCATGCATTGCACAAAGAGGTTTTATGTTTCTTTTTAAAAAATACAGTTTATATATATTCTATGCGAGATACCAGAAGCAGTTTAAAAAAATTAGACAGAACTTTTTACAGACCTTTATTTGTTAGCTCTGTCTCTCAGGCTGCTCAGCCAACTTACAGATTTTGGCCTTATCAGTTCAGTTGAGAGACAAGCACATCCCAATTTATCTATCACTGCTGTTGTGCATCCCAGATGCCTCTTGAAATCAAAACTCTGAAGAGTTTTTGGAATTAAAATACATTTGCTCTTCATTCCCACAAAGACAAATACCTCTCCAAAGAGAAACAAGATACTATGCAAGAGGCTTTGTGAAGGACAGGATCATCTAGGGTCTAAGGTATACAGATGCATAAATCTTCTTGATTTATGCCCCTAAACTGCTTTATGTGCTCACAAAGTTTTCCAGCTAATTTAAGATGTTGATTTATTTTATTGGTAGAAGACAGGGAAAAGGCCACGTTCATTGACAATAATTAATAACTGGACTTCTTAAGCAATCCTCATTTATAAGGTAGAGGGCAAAAGTAAAATCACAGTCCCCACTTCACATAATTTTCTGTCTCAGCCAAAGGTAAGCATCAACTTATCAATAAAGGAGAGAAGAAAGCCTCAGAAGAAAGACTGGAGCTACAGCATGGATGAAAAGACTTCTCATTCCGGTCCATCAGAAAACAATAAAGCTGGCAAAAAACATTACAGCATGAGACACCTTCTCTTTCCTCCTTCATAGAGGAGGAAGGACCAACTGTGTTCCAGATTACAGAATAAATTAAATTCAGTGTAACACATTCGTAGACTTTACCATAACTGAATTTACGTTACTACATAGACAGTGAGATAAAATTCTGCAAATTATTCTGATATTTATCTTTCATATTTGCTATTCAGTGTTAGCACAAACACAATAGACAAGAAGAGACAATATAACTCTATCTTAACAATCTATTCGTAGTCCATCTGCAGTTAAACTTTAATTAAATTGGTTGCTGCTTCATTTTCTCCAAAAAAATCAAAATTTAAGAAACTGTTATTAAAAGCTGAAGCATGACTAAATAGTTTGTCTCCTCTCACACTGCAAGGGCTGCAGGCAGCTGCGGGCCGGGAAATTTGACTAGAGGTATTTCCTTGTCCTTCCAGCTAAAATGCATAGATTATCTGCACAAAGATCTTGGCTTTACATGTCTGCACACAGATCAGAACAATAGCTTAATGACGGGATTACGAATAATTTCCCTCCTAGACTACTTGGTGAAAATATGTAAAGGAATGCCCAACTACATATATTTGGTAAATTTTGTGGAATGTGACCAAAAATAAATAATCATGTAAAAATCCAAACTCCATTTTTGCACAACTCTGCTTGAACAGTAATCAATTATTTGGTGCGTTCTACAAGAACACATTAGACAGCATCATGTCCCTCCGCTTTATAAGGCTGAAGCACTTTATATTAGAGCATTGTAGACTCCACTACCACAACTGTGATACAAAAAGTACTAGCTAAAACATGCTACAAAAATATTTTTAGTAGCCTCTAGCCAGAAGCCCTTTGCACATAAAAGGACAAACAGCTATCTCTGCTACGGACAACCGAGACACAGACCACTCCACAGAAGAGAGAAAATTTGTAAAGGCATGCACTCAGGCAACCTGCTACTGTGACAATAGCTGTGGCAGGCTCTTTAGCACTCGTACGATCAAGAAAAACAGAATTTTTACCACTCTCACCCCCCTCTGAAAATCTGACAAAAACACCCAAACAACCCACACAGAGCTCTAGGGACTTCTGTCACTGAGAAGGGGCTGACACATGCTTCCTCGGCTTGACACGAGTCTCAGGAGGAGGCACTCTGTGCCATCTCTAACAGAGCAAATAGGTGCAGGAGGGCTGGGAGCAACGGCCGCAGCCAAGAGTTCTGTGTGACAGTGGCCACAAGGCGACAGCAAACGCACGAGGGACCTGCATGGCACAAGAGACTCACCCCACTAAAGTGGTCAGATTTTCCGCTTCCTCCTAATCATGACTTCATCCTGCCACAGACCCCATAAAATTTTTCTTCTCTCTCCCCCTGTCTACCCTTGACTTCTCAGCTGCCATCATATCAGTATCTACCCAGCTGACTTTTTCCTGACAATGAGCCATCATTTCCTCTTTGTAGCAAGAGGACTGCAAGCAGGCACGTACGGATGTTACAGCCTTGAGAAATCTTTCATCACAGATTTTGAGTAGTGGCAGCTAATTGAGCGTACCAGATACAGTGGCAAACAAAAATCAATCAGTTCTCCAAATACTGCTTCACATAATCATTGGATACTGTACCGCACGGTGATGCAAGAAGAACCAGCATGTGTGTTCAAGGAGATTCACTTAATCTCTAATATTTACTCTCCGATTTTTAACTCTTTCATATATATGGTATAGTGGCCAACTATTGCGATGCCTAACATTGCCAAGTCACAAATTTAGTAAGAGTGGCTATCACATTAGGAAGCCTTAAATGCAATTAGATTTATGTGACCTGCCCTAAGCAAACTACAAAATTCATTACTTTAAAAAGCAGCTCTAAAAATAAAGCAAACTGCTCAGGTTTTTACATAGCACTGTTGTGAATGTGAGCACTTCCAAGAATTTCAAAAGAGCAGAAGTGGAGTAGAAGATTTCCAACCCTCCAAGAACAAATCTCCTCATCAAATTACTTCTCCCTCTCTACATTTGCAAATTATCTTAGAAGACAATATTCTAATAACCTTAAAGAACAAATAATTTCACTATGCAATTGTTCACAGGGCAGCAAATATGTCTTTCAGCTAACCAACACTTCCTAAGTGGTAAGAGGAAACCCTGTTTAGGAGGAATTTCTGGGTGAGCCTGCTACACTGTAAAGGAATAGTAATTTTTAAGGCCAAATTTCAGAACCACCACCATTTCAACAAAGCAGCTGGTTACAAAAGGGGGAGAAGAAATGGAAATCATAGAGGCTATCAGCTCTTGAGTACTGTATCAGGTACTCACCTGCTCGGTCATACAGGATGTGAGATCGCTGTAGCCCTTCCTTTACATGCTCTTCTGTTATCAGAATGACACCTGCAGAATCACCTTCGGTAGTACTCAAAGGAGTGGTCTTCCCCGCTGCTACTCTGGCCTGAATTGCTAACTGGAGTCCATTCAGCCCAGTCCTTGCATCACCATCACAAAGGTAGGCTAGGGTATTTAGAGCTTTCTCCTCTATGTACACTGGGAATCTGCAACAGAAACCATACACTGTTAGCCCCCATCACGCTCCTCTCTTTGCATATTATGCTAGATATGGCATTTCAATACAAAATTTGTTGAGATGCAGCTGGGTTTAAGTTTTGTTCTTAACTCATTCTGTCATGATTAAGCATTGCAGAACCCAGGAGAACACTGTGGGACCTGACCCCTCTTCCTCCTACCCCAATGTATGTCAAATACAATTGCACATGAAAAAGGTAGGGCAGGAGCCTGCATCTATTTAACCGCCTTAGTTTTCCTCATCTCATTAAGTTCAATAGAAACCAGGGTTAAGGTTTTGCCAGAACACAATTCTGGCACAGCCAGTTGAACTTTACGAGGTTTCACTCTACCAGCATTACGTAGCTGGCACTTCCAACTCCTTGTTAGAAGGACAATTAAAAGGTAGGAAGCTATCCAAATGCATGTAAGAAAATATAGTGAGGTATAAAGTAATTACCATAAGGTATTGAACTAACTACCAACAGCAAGAGCTGCTCTCAGATGTTCTTCAAAAAGCAACAACTGGAAGGACTGTTCACATTGTAAAGCATATACGCATCCTACATTCTTTTTTTTTTTTAATGGTAACAGGTATTACAACTTAGACAATGGAGCACAAAAAATATCTTACTAGAAACAAAAGGCATCTCAGCACATGCAAGTCACTGTTCTTGCCATCTACTACTCTAAGTGTGCCAGGACTATACAAACACATGAAAAAAGCAATTCCAGTGAACATACAATCTAAATGAACAAGATGGGAAGAGCTGAGAACTGCAGCAGCTGGGGAAGGATGTCCTGAGATCTCAGAGCAGGTCTATGAAAAAATCTGGGAAAGTAACTCAAGCTCTTTCTCCACATTTTCATCTGCTGAGCTGCAATCCCCCACTGTCGGGGCACATGCAAACCAACTTGCCTCTGCACATTCCACATGCATACTGTGGAGGATTTGACCCGCAAACTTTAGTTATGGAGACAAAGTAACAGCTAAGGTGTTCACCAGGCAGAGGGTACAACTGATTTGATTTGGAAACAGCAGCTAGTGGAGTTAAAGCATAGCGTTAAGTAATGGCCCTAACTTAGCCAGTTCTAGTAACTGAACTGAAAATCAAGAGTGACGTGTATCAGTGTGGATTAATGCACAAAGCTTGGCGTGAGAGGCAATTTCTTATGAAGCCCTTGTCTGCCAAATAATTAAGGATTCACAACAGCCCTGCACTTCATTCACCAGAAAGATTTATTACTGTTATTACCAGTGGTATACAAAAAGCCAATGCCAGGGCTCCCAGATACACACAACACTAATCTTCATTCTTTGTCTCCTCTTCCTCCCCACAAACCCACTTTGTACTTGTCACACAAAAGAAAAATACAGTAGGTGCTGGAAAAACTTCAACAGTTAGTATTTGAGCCCTCTCATGCCCATACATAAGAGGCAAAAACTTGTGGAGCTGCAAACTTAATCCACAGCACTGCAAGTGAAGGCTGACAAATGTCTTCTAGGGCCATAACCCATGCTGCAGAGTAGGCAGCAAGAATCACACTCTGTGGGAAAAAAAGATCTATCTATATACACATCTGCATCTCGTCGTATTTTTATTTGCATCTCATTTTTTCTTATGTATTTGATAAAACTAGAAAAAAAAAAATCAAATACACATACACAGTGGCACTCCAAAACACTGCACTTCCTCCAAGGTGTTTCAAACACCATCTTCGTGTTTGAACAGGGAAGCAGAAGAATCTAACAGCACAGAGACTTATTCAGTCAAGTATCTCATGAATCAAATTCCTTGAAAATCAGGGAGCAACATTCACTCCTCAGCACTACAGATGGACACCAAATTTTCTATATGCAATGAAAGAAGCCAGGAAAGAAAGCAAAAGCTCTATTTTAAAAAACCCAGCAGGCACTACACAGACATCCTCCTGCCAATACCCCCATCAACAGGGAACAAACCAGAGTATGCTGCACACTGAGCAAGCGCTTTGGATACACCAGCAGGGCAGACTGAAGAGAAGTTTCACCTGCAAGGACTAAGCTTTTTGCCTGATGTTTGCAGGGAACACCATGTGCTCGAGACTTCCTCACACTAATACCCACAACTGCACCTAGCGAGTGCAAGTGCAGGGGAAGTGTTGAGAGCACGAAAAGGAAGGTACTACCCTGGCAAGAAGTTAAGAAGTCTGTCCCAAACAAAGTTGAGGCTTCAGAGCACTTTTGCCATTTATTTGCTATTTAGAAGCTGGGCAACAAAAGCTGAATTGTATTCCTCCTGTCTCTTCAGTTTCACTATAGGACTCTAAGTGCCGTGTTGACTCAACACATGCAATCGTTATTACAGGAATTGAAACAAATATGCACAAGGATGTATGAAAAATCTGGTTACAAGCAAAGGTGTTGTCTGCTTCCATGGTGAAATCCAAGTTACAACATATTGGTAATGCAAATTTTGCTGCAAATAATGTATTGCATTATGTATTAGGCTGATCCAGGCCATGTCTACAGCAATAGCACAACATACAGGACATGATAAAGAACGAGAATAAATGGAGAAAATTTCCACATACATGCTGTTTAAATAGCATATTGATGAGAATCACTGACTGGAAATAGGGTAATGCTTCCCTGTTCCATAATCTCAGCTCCATTCACACTCAATATTTAAAAATAACATTTTATATTCAGAATAACCGAATTCAGTTATTTTTGCTGAGGAATTAAATCTTAAATTCCATTTTCTTTTTGATGATTTCGCTTAATTAAGTAGGAACCTAATTTCAAAATCAGGATGACAATTATTTCAATACCTTGGATTCCAAAAGACACTCACTGTATTTTACATTAAGCCCACCCTGTCTTAAGAAGCTCAAGTACCCTACACCCTTTCACTTTACCTGACTTCTGCACACCCTAGAACTGAAAGGCAGAATAACTCCCATGCTTTCTGACGTCTTCCCAAGCTCCTGATCCTTTTGCAGATGGGCAATCTTGTACTTTTTTCACTCTCCAAAATTAACACTGAACACTCACTGGACGCCAATGCTCAATGTTGGTATCTTGTAACCGATGATACTTGGAGACAAAAAAATAAACAAACCAAAAGGGACACCCTGGGATCCACCACTCACTGAGCTGAAGGTGATATACTAGCTTAAGGAATGGAAAACTACCACTACAGAATAATAAATCCTTCTCTCAATTCCTCCTCATCTCCACAACCTCAAGACAGTTTGTGCCAAGAACCAACATGAAACATGTAATGAACTACCCATAAAACCAGTACAAAAGCATGGTGGTTGATCCAATGACAAGATGGTGTAAGCAGTATCAGAAAGTAAATATTAGGAAGTCCAAGCATGAAGAACCTGTACAATAAAAGATTTAAAAATAATTGAGCAGAGCATGAGACAAAGTACCCATTGCTTCTTTCACATATAAATCAGTACTTTATTTCCTCAGTGAAATTATTCTTACTACATTCACTCCTTGACAGATTGTAACACTCTTACAGGCAAATACAGTTCTTCATGTGAAATAGTGCAGTATGATATGCATTGCTCACTGCCTTACAGCATTGTCTTAGTATGTCGCCTCTCATCCTGGCAACTCTATTTCCTGCAAGGAAACTGGATGGATGTTCCAAAAAGGGAGTAATTTGCAAAAAAGTATTGAACACTGATGATCCAAAGGAAGCCCATCTTCAACACTGTGATTTACAAATCAGTAAATTCAAAATCTGTCAGAACTTGCAATATAGCCATTAACAAGTTGAACTGCATGATGTCTGGGCTTGCCAACAGGGAGCTGGGGATCCTCTCATTTCCCTCAGCTGTGCGCCTTCTGTGCTAACTTCAAATACATTAAGCCATCATCCAGTTTACCGTATGACTTCAATTAGAGATACCACTCTGAGGGCAGCACTTGAATGATAAAAAGACAAGAAAAAAAGAATTTGATTTTCTCCATCACTGACACAGTACAAATGTAGTATATCAGCATACACCTGGAACAGTTTGTGATATCACTGAGACAGCATAAACTGCAGAAAGTACAAGCAAAGTTTCAGCAATATAAAGCATCTTCAACATTGACATCTTACTTTTCTTCTTCAAGAGTAAGTTTATTCGTTTCATGTTCCCCCATCTTGCAGCTTAATTTACTGTAAGCTTTGAGAGGCCTTATTTTGATGGCAGTAGTTGATGAACATATAACACAAAGCACATCTTATTCTAAAGAAATCCAGTAACTCATATAAAAACTGTCAAAGAACCTTTAAGAGCATGGTGACATAAAGAAAAAGACACCAAAGTAGGCAACACCTCCTGCTAGTTCTATTTTAGCTTTAGAGCAAGAAAAGGCCACAGTGGGATTAAAGAGTATCTAGGTCACCTAACCTTATCAGAAACCTGCAGCAACTGTAGAAGCAAAATTAAAAAAAGCCACCAAGAAAATGGTGGATTTGGGTAGATTGAGGACACTTTCCTTTTGATAACTGCTGCACGTGCATGGAGTGCAGAGATGATAAAACCTACTGAATCACTCCACAATGGCTGCATTCTTGTTGAGCATGTAAGATGCCCATAGAGACCAAGGAAGATTCACCCTCACCTTATTCCTCAAGGCAACAGGAGAGACCACAAAGAATCATCCTATTCTTCAAAATCTCACCTACATCAGCTATCACGTCAGACAAGTGATGTGATACCAAGACCATCTGATCAACTGAGGTGAAGCAGCACATGCAGGACTCCACAGTGCACTTCTGTGGTTTGGGAAGGGAGACTCACATGGGAAGTGAAATCCAAAATTCAATGTACGTATCACTGGTGCCTTCTGGCTAGATCTCTGCAGCACTTTCAAAATGGGCATGCCCCACATTTGGGGACATGCTGCCTCACAGCTCCTTTTCCAACTCTGAAACAAAGGTGAGTACAGTGAACAACCAATTCAACTGTAATTGGTGATTCAACTGTAATTGGTGACTTTCATTTATTCCTCAGGACAGCACAAACAGTTACCTGCCTGAATCTAATGACAGCCCTGCTTCACAGAGGCAGGGATGTGAAGAGGTAAAAGATGAGACACAGCTGCTCCAGCAGAGCAGTAGAGGAAATGAAGGAGTAGAAATGGTATTGACAGTGAAGGAAGAAGGAGGAATTAATAAGATGACCAAAACTGAAACCACAGTAAGGGACAGGATGGCTTATAAAAAGAAAAACTCATCAGCAACAGTATGTATCAACTACAGACCAGAATCAGATAGCAGCAGGAAAGACAAGAAAAACTTAACACACAACTGCAAGAAATGCTCCTACATTCTGAACCCTCTTTATATTTTTAAATGCTCGGTGCTTGCATTAGCCATTGGAGTGGGGCCCTCTCTCTCCATGGATAGAGTCTGAAACAGTGTTTGTCTGACAGTCTGCCTGCCAGACTTCTTTCAGTTTGATGAAGCACCACACTGTGCTGTTTAAATCATCCATAGCTAAAGGAAGGTTACAGATATGGAGAGTCTAGCGAAACCCAAACCCAAACAACTGCAGCTGAAACTATGCCTTGTACTTTAATCCTGTGCAGAAAGGAAACTCTCTGAACCCCAGTCAGGGTGTAGCCACAAGCACAGCTGTGCCATTACATTAATGCTGACATGCAGTACTGCCTTCTCTTCTAAAATTCACATTATTACCACATGTAAAAGCTACAGATGAGTAAACCATGAGGCCTGACCTCAGTGTTCCCTGCCCTGACCTCAGTGTTCAAGTTGGAGATTCTTAGTGCTTACATTCTATGATAAAGCTAAAGGACAAAGTGGATTCCCTCCCATTTATTTCATACCAAGTACCTGCCCAATTACCACCAAGTCAATACACTGTAAATTACAAGGAGGACAGACAAGCAGCAGCATGAAGGAAGTGTAATAACGTGTATGAAAGTAGCGCAGTACCAAGCATTATTCTAATTTGCCAACTAGCCATTTCAGAAGGCAGATGACATCCCCTATGGACAAGCCAGGACCCTGTTTTTATCAAAACTCTCCCAAATGTTTAACGTGTCTATCTGGCTTGGACAGTAAGAAGCAGAGAAAAACAAAGTGTCTCTTAAAAGATTGTTTTAACACCTCACAGCAACAGCCTCCTCTCCCCACAGTGTATCATAAAACATACTGCAGCACTTATCCTGCAACTAAAGAACAGTACTATCCTCCCTGATCCTATTTTAAAAAATTTCTCAGAAAACAACAAACTTTTGTCAGGCACTTCCAAATTAACTTAAGAGGGGATGCCCCATCCACCACTTAACAGTAATATGACGCTTTTACCAGTAGCAAGAAGTAACACACATTAGGACATGACAAAGACCCTGTTACAGGCTTCTGCAGCAAATCCCCAGCAGCAGAATGGATTTAAATATCCTGGGAGGGTGAGTCAGGAGCTACAGATCCAAGTATAAAATTCTCTCCTAATCCAGACGGTGAGATTATGTTTTGGATGGAGAGAGCCAGTGCTTTGAATTCTCTCTCTCCTGTCACCCCCCACCCCTGCCATATGCTGCCACTTCTTTTCTTTACTATCAGAAGTGGCTAGGGTTTCTCTTCCCACCCCCAACTGCTTCATTCTCTCCCTGGCAGGCAGTCAATTCCTGGGGCTGTGTGCATTAACACCCTGCAGCCCATAAAGTACTCACTCTGAGCTCTCGCGGCTGCTGCCAGTCGCAGAGCTGCTGTGCTGCTTGCCCTGGCCCAAAACCTGGACCCCTAAGGACCTGACGGCCCGCATCAGAATCGCCTCCATTGCTTCAACCGAGAGCTTCTCCAGGACAATCACCCGGCATCGGCTCAGAAGAGCGGCGTTGACTTGGAAGGAAGGGTTTTCTGTGGTCGCTCCTATCAGGGTCACCGTCCCACACTCAACGTGAGGAAGGAAAGTGTCCTGAGGATGGGAGGGAAGCAGAAAAAGCTCATCTCGATCAATGACAACCTGAAGCACCCCATGTGAGTAGGCTACATTTTTTGTGTCTTGTGAGTCTCTGGGTTCCCTGTTGATATGACAAATAACCTCACCGACAAGGCAGCTCATCTGCTCTGCTATCTAAATGATTTAATTTCGTGCACACAGCACATTATGGGCTGTTCACCTCAATAACTCATGCTTGCACTGAGAATGACCCTACCAGCTAAAAAGAAACTGTCAAAAATCTTCAAATTTTCAGTTTATTTATGTGACTTTGGTTTAGTGCTTGGCAAACATAAGGTATCATGAAATTGCCTGATCAGATAAAACACATAGTAAGGCTACTTTTAAATACTCTTTCCATCAACCTTTAGGGCTACGATTCCCTACATAATCCTACAGGATGGCTCAGAAAACTATAGGAAGATTGCAGTATGGTTCAATATAAAAACTGTCACTTGTAGTACAGAATTCAACCTTTCCGTGGTATGACTAAAAAAAAACTAATACCTAGGAAAAAGAAAAAAAACCAACCAAGTGATGGCTGCAGCAACATGTTATTTCAAAGCATCACGCTTTATTTTTCTTTTTTCTCACAGAGGGGACAACATTAAAATACCCACCTGCCCTAGGCACATTCGCATTCCAGACCTTTTTAAAGGTAATGCAGAATGCTGAAATGAAGATATGTGCAGCAAACATTCCTAACATGACTTTGCAGAAATAACATTTCAGAAAAATGTTATATAAAGCCCAGCATGTAAATCAACTATAAGTACAGCTCAGCCTTTTATTTAAATCTTTGAATCACAATAATTCAACACCAATTGGAAGCTAGTTATGGAATTTAACTTTTACGTTTCTCCCTAATTCATCTACTAAAACCATTAACATTAAAATCCAAAGCCCAAAGTAAGCTATCATCTTAAGGTAGGAAATTCTACAGAAGTGCTGACAACGGCTTTTTTCAAAAAGCAGTACAGTACAATACCTGCTGAGATTTATTGAAACGATGGATCTCATCAATAAAGAGGATGGTTTTTCTCTTGAAGAGTCTTTTTTCATTCTGGGCTTGGCTGATGACATCTCGAACATCATTTGTCTTGGCACTTGTGGCCGACAGTGTCACAAACCTCACGCCGTTCTTCTTGCTGTTGTTAGCTATGATGTGTGCCAGTGTAGTCTGAAACAGCAGTAAGAGAAAGCTTTGTAAAAGTCGTTTGGGACACAGAAAGTACTCATTTGAAGGAAATATGTAAAGAACAAAGCTATATATTCTAGACATAGGGACAGTGTTGACAGTTTATAGAGTAAAGTATTTTCGTTCATGCTATTCAAGACTTAAAAACTTCCTGCTAGAGGTAGCTGCCAGTTCCACTTCTGCATTTCTAATGCCTGCACTTTTACGTACCGGACCTATTCAGTCTGAATACTGAAAAGGCCAGCAATGACAGCTGTCTCCCTTACCACGGAAGAACTCTTTGCCAAATACATTTCTGCCACAGGAGACAGGCTAACTGCAATTCACTGTGCAGTTATTTTGTAGAGTATGTTAATGGGTAAAGAGCTGAACTACCCCGAGACACCTGCAAAATAGCTTAAAATACAACCACATTTAAGAAATAAAAAGCTACAGTGTTGTAAATTAAAGCCTTTTCTATTTCCACTGTGCATAAAAATGAAATTAATCAGATAGCTGTTCTCTACAAAAGCATGAAAATGACAGTACTGAGAAATTACATGTATACTTAAAAAACGTAACTCTTTAAATCTAAATTACCAACAGTAAACAAATGCTGGCCCTGAGAAGTAAAAGGCAGCCGACTGAACAAACTGTTGGCTAGTTTCAGTGAGCAGCTGTGCTGTTTTTCTTTCCTTTATAGTCAACTCCTTAAAATGAGAACGTATTTATAGGGAATTTCACTGAGCGTATCGAAGCACAGAAGCAACCTCTGGTACTACCTCCCAGGCAGATTTACTACACCCGAACACATCACAGGCATAATTTTCAGACTTTCCTTCACAACCTTGGTAAAGGCAGGTGTATCTCTATTTGAAAGTACTGCTAGAGAAAACAGATGATTCTTTCATGGAGCTCACTCCTCTAATAAAGAAGGAGCCAAAGGAGACTGAAGACGGGACAGCCTCAGCAGATGAGGAGTGGGACAGGTGCTGACACAACCACTTCAGAAGATATTCCAAGTACTGAGGTTAAAGCAGCTGGTGCTGCCAACCCGATCCTCTTGCAGAGGCTGCAGAAGCAGCCACCTACCACATGGCTACCAGTGCTGTTGCAGCACTGCTCTGTCTCTTTAATGGATCTCCTCATTCCTGAAATGGCAACCAGCCCAAGATGGAAAAGGGGAAGCTAAGGGGGAGGATGTATCACTATTTATTATTGCTTTAGTTTTAGTAAGGGCTTCCTGATTGTCTTCAGAAGAGGTGTCATTTCACATCCTGATACAAGACTCGCATCCCGTGTCAGATCCTCTCTCATCCCCTGGAGCACAAAGCACCAGCTCCTGCCCTCCTTGTACCGCTGCAGAAGATGCGACTAGAAACACATGCTGAAAAGTACTTGCAGCAAAGCCTATAGAAATCAGGAAGATCTGGGAAACCAAGAAACTAAGCTAACAAAATAAAACCGAAGTTGGTGTTTTCTTACAAAAGGGCCTCTGATTCAGAATGTACCTTCAGAGGATGTACCTGCACCTTAAAAATCATTGAAAGCATGGAAACCCCCCATTCATCAAATTTGAGGATGAAAAAAGATAAAAATTACCTCTTCCTTCTCTAAAAGTGGTGGTGGTGGGAAAATTAAGTGGCTATTCTTGTAGCTCCACTGGAACACACAGCTCGTACTGCATCCTGGCCCTCATTCACCAGGTCACAGATAGTTTTGTTTAAAAAAAAAGCAGTGAGGAATTTTTTTAAACACATGCATATGAGTCCATATTTCTACCCTTAATTTAAGAGAAAAAAAAAAAAAAAAGAAAAGGTATTTGTTTGAAAGTACTATTAGACCAGGAACCTACTTGAAAACTGCTGCACAGCTCTCAGCATATACTTCTCCTGCTCTGCCAATTTCCGGGTCAACAAAGGCTGCTAACATACACTGCCTTTCAAAAGCAGTGCTTGATGTGGACAGGCAGGCTCGTGGCCTCTTCCTTCTGTTCTGCACAATCATTCAGCAAGTCAGACTGCTCACTGCACACAGGTCAAACTTTCCCTATTTCTCCAAAAGCCTATTACTTCCCATGAGCTCAATTTTTTTATGCTGCTTTTCCTCATACCATCTATCTCAAGCAAAAGTCAGTAACATGCTACGCTGTTTTCTCCCCCTTTGTTACTCTCAGGTTACAACACAGGGAACACATAACCCAACGGAGACTTAAGCAGGGTAGCATAAATAAGAAGGCACTAGCACAGAAGAACTGCAACTAGTATGCTAAACCCCTAGTTTCTCTCACCAAATTCAGGGGCAATGTATTTGAGTGATAAGAAGGAAATTAAAAATCCAATATGGAGTAATGCAGAATAAAACACATTGAATATCCTTCATCATATGAAACAAATTTTGAAGTAGGTTTGACTGTTACATTACAAAAAAAGTCTTTTAAAATAGTGACACTGATGTTGCAATTTAATATGAACAACTGCATCTGTATCAGAACCAGCATAAGAAGCAGGAAAAGGAAATCTAAACAAGTTGATATACTGCTCCTTTCATTATGCAGGTGTTGCTTCTTTAGATTACTTTTTTTTTTTCCTTATGGGGAAGAGCAGAAGTATTGTTTCCTGTAAATTATCTATGAGAATAGAAGTGATCCTGCAAACTAACCTTTTGCTAACTTCACTAAAAATTACACCACACAAAGCTCACAGTGTAATATCCTTGCCCCTTCCAGCAGTCATTCTCAGTTCTCTTCAAGTATGCCACCAAACTGTCCAAACTTACTCCTTATCTCAAGTTTTATGCTGAAAATCGCAAGACATTACTGACTTATCTGTTTAGACATGCTAATGGCACTAAACAGTGCCATCATAAGGAGCCATTCCAAAACTTGGAAATATACCCACCAATAAATTAATGAACCATTACTCACCAATTAATAAAACTTTCAACTTAAGCCTGTGGCCACTTATTTCTAGATTCATTACACACATGAAAAAACTCTTAACTACTGAAACTCTCCTCTACTGTCCTGCAAATTTCTTCATGTCAGCCCAAATGAGAATATCCTTTCCCAAAGCCTGCAACCACCCATTACACACATGAAAAAACTCTTAACTACTGAAACTCTCCTCTAATGTCCTGCAAATTTCTTCATGTCAGCCCAAATGAGAATATCCTTTCCCAAAGCCTGCAACCACCCAAGATTTAAAAAAAAACACCAATCAAACAAAAATAGCCCAACAAGCCCACTCCCAGCAACTATGCTATCAGTTCTTCCAGGCTTTGATACAAATTATGGATGAAATAAAAGTAGCCCACAAAGTGTGCTTGGCTCCACACACCTCTCACTGTCAGAGCAGATAACCCAATCAGATTTTCTTGTTTTGGTTAGTTGGATGTTTGTACTAGCACACATGAATATTCTGTATATCCTCAAGTTTCCTTGACTGGACAACTCTTTGAGGGTAACCCATCTCCCTATTCTCTGTTCTGCCACTACTGAATGCAACCTTACACTGATGGCTGTAAGAAAACAGTAAAATGCAAATACAAATTAAGCCCATCCTACTAATGCTCATGTTCAGTGACTGGAAGTGAGGTGGTCTTTTCATTTTTGCAGCTCTTTACCAGGCTATTAAACTATGCCCATTGCATTAGCTCACCAAAGCCCTTTCTAGGAGTAAAGAGCAGTACTGCCTACCTCTCTTCAGAAAGTGGAATTGAAAAAATTGGCAAGAGATTAGCACATATGGTCAGACCACTGTCAAGAAGATTCCAGTCAAGAAGTTGACTGTGTAACCTAAGGTTATTCTTACTTCACTCTTGTGGAAGATCGGGTAGATCTTGTTTAGGGATCTGCCTATGGTTGCCTGTTCACGGAGACTTTCCTTATACATTCTTAAATTGCATAAATTTAGCAAAACAGCCATTGTAGAGGTCAGTCACAGAAAACACATGGTCTTGCACGTTACATCTATACTGTGTTCAGCAGTCATGTCAGAGCTCCTGCAAGGTGTGCAGGACACTTCACAGTCATTCTGTTCCAGCCTCACACCCTTTGCCACCTCTCACAGCCTTTTCATGAGAAGCTGATATTCATACTACACTTTATGGAAGCACACTGGTACAAGAGCTCTCCTTGCACCTAGATGGGCCCTTCCAACATATGTATTTCTCCCAACAAGTCTGGAAGGTTGTATGGTCTGCTAGGCTGTGTTTAGGTGACCAAAGCAGATCTGTCAAGATCTGCACTTAAGTATAAAGTGCAGCATGGATTATTACTGAGCAGGGATAATCTAGTCAGCATCTAGGCTTCCCCACCAAGTGACTTTGCCAGTTTGGTCCAGAGCAAACCATGCTGTGAATTAGGTTTGTGGCAGGGATGACAAAAGGCTGACAGCTTAGTGCAAAACACAAGCCCAACAGGCTAACTACACCTACAGACTTGTAGGGTCTAAATTACATGATCAGAGTTATGAATTGGCATCCTGCTTCTTTCTGCTGCCCTCTGGCCATGACTTTCCCTATATTTTTGCCTCTTCCTTTATTCTGGCCAGGTTTTTCAGATCTTTGCTTACCTGGCCATCAACAGCTTCTCCTCACCCTCAACCCTTTGAGGGCAGCAGGGCCATACTGTGGTTGACAAGCAGTCAGGAAAGGCCACGCTCTGTTTCAATGCCTTGAGTGAGACACCAGCAGTGCCAGCATCCTTGGATGCCGGCCAGGGGAACAGCTAGTTCCCCGGGATGCAGCTTTAAAAGCTGGGTCTGTCCTACCCAACATTGCCGAGCTGACCCCAAGCTACCTACCACACTGTGTCACAGGAGATGAGCTGGGCTGTGTCTAAAGGAAACTGGCAGGATAGCAGATCAACACGGCTCAGGGACACTGTCTATAAACACAATCAAAAGTGGCAGCAGTTGGCATTTATATAAGGGCAGATGCTATTCTTACCCATCTTGTTTGGTTCCTCACACTCCAAATAGCCCACTGTGAGACTACTGGAGGAGTAAGGTGTCACTGAACAACCATCACAGCATGTGGTTTACAGCACTTCCAGAATCCAAGTCCGACCAAGCATAAACAGATGCAAGGTCATTGCATAATGTTTACTGAAATGGAGCTGTGCCTCCATTTGCCGAATCTAGATATGTCTCCTTATATTCCAACTGCTTTACAAACACAATTGTATCTTCTCTTCCAGTTTTCTCTTTCTTGAGAGCTACCCATAAGTTATTCCTGATTTAGACTGGGATAAGCAAAATCAAGCACACTGTATACGAAGACTTCTCCCAGGCAACTGCAAAGACAAACCCATTTTTCAGAGTTGTTCTGGACTTTCACTCTACACTACTGTAAAAGACACCACGCATTTTCGGTTAAAGATCTCATGGCAATCAATCAAAAGAACTCATTACTTCACACTGTTCAAATCAGGCCCCAAGCAGTATGAATAAGAGAAGATAAAATACACTCAAGTAATCAAATAGCCATTTAGGTAATCACTTGAATTAGCAAAACAGAAAATGCTGGAGGGAAGAGATGATAAATCTGCTGGGAACAAAATAGGTAAGTTGGACTTGCTGCATTTCAATGTGTCATACAGCAAAGCCTTGAATAAAAACAAAGAAAATAAATACAAGCAAGTACTAGAGATAAAATATAAATTAAATGGAGATTTGATAGAAACTCCAGAGACCACTTACTGGGTTTTTTAAAGTTTTGCACTCATATCAACACGGCATATTTTACCTTAGTACTAGATTGCAGATATGGACCCCAGAAAAATCACATGTGAATGTTCTTTGTCTTATCTTTTGTAGGGAGTGGGTTCCAGACACTTGCTGCCTACATTTTTTCTTGCTAAACAGCAAAAACAAGAGGGAATGTTTACTGTATTCAAATACAGAACGTTCAGGTTTATAAGGCTTAAACTGCATCTGTGACAGCAAAATTATTCAGTGCTCAAGTTACGCTGTGTCCCCCCGCTAACTCTTTACTAAAATTGGTGCCCCATGGCAGGCAAGCAAAAATCTAAATCCCTGCATTAAAGTGTCATAAATCACAGTACAGCTTACTCAGATTGCACTAGGATTCATACAGGCTTTTAAAAATTTACATAGTCAGGATGAACAAACTAACTGTTCCTAAGTTAATTAGCACAGCATCTCTTCGAGGCAATGTTCCTTCTTCTGGCCTGTCTCTGGTCAGATTCTTAAAAGTAGAAAACGTGTTCTTGTGTTCAACACTTAATAGTGACAAAAGTAGAAACAGAGTCAAAGACTCTTCACCTAGAGCACCTAGGCTTTCTAAGAAATTAGGGTGACAAATTAAAAGTACAAAGATCACACTCCCTTAAAATAAGATGACTCGATACAGATGGAAACTCACAAGAAAATAAACTCACAACAGAAATACCCTGATTTTTGTCTTTTCAATTTTGATTGTGTTTCCTTGAATATTCAAGTGTAGCTGAGGCTGAAATCAACTTGGGCAGAGCAGCACAAAACACATGTATTTTTATTCAGGTACACAGCTTTCCTTTCAGGATAAAAATTCTCCAAAAGTACACTGGACCTACAACATGAAATGCTGTATTTATAGGAGGTTAATAGCCAAGATTATTCTCTTCTTGCTTAGAAAAAGTCTGCTGAACTACTACTTCTCATAAAGATCCAAAACTGATAAATAATGCACAAACTAATTTTAAATTTGGCCCCAAGATTAATTCTATTTAATTATTTGTTTTTTACTTAGTCCTGCTCTACCTTTTTCAGAAGAAGTTATCAGTTAGCATGGCATTTTGCTGTAGAAATGTAAAAAAGCATAGATGGGCTGCAATAATCAGATTCCATGGGCAGCAGGAGTGTGAAGAGTTTTAAGGAGTCTACAACCATCTTACACAGCACTTCTAAATTTAGACCACCCTATCTAATTATACTCCTATTTTAGCACCTAACCCCTAACGCAAGGCCATTTTCTTTGATGGGCAAAGCTTAGCATGTGGGCTTGTTACATTTGAAGCTACATAACATGCAATTATTTCTTAGTATTTTCACCACTGAAAAAGACTGTACTTAACAGAACTAGTTTTTGATTATCAGTCCAACCAAGTCCTCAGGCACTAAGAATACTTACTTCTCTTTCACAAGACCTTTCAAGTTTCAAGCATTAAGTTATGCAATTTTTCACAGAAAAAGAGAAATAAACTTTCTTTTCACCTGTCCATCCTCCACCCTTTTCGGGTTGCTTCCTCATGAAATGTTTTCTTAGATATATTATATACGTACAACTGAAGTAGGAAATGAATGAGGCAGGCAGGGAACCACAGACTTCTTTTTCCATCTTTAGGGGGCCTATTTTGCCTTCCACGTTAAATCTGCAAGGACAGGAATTTAATAAAAAAGATCCAAGTAAAGGAGAGAACTTTCAGCCATTTACCTGAGACAGACAACATGATTTATGGAGAAGAAGGCCTGTGATGAAACTATACTCTAGCACTGACCTAGAAATATTGATAAGCATGGGTGAAGGGAAAAGTTCAACTTTTTGCAGTAAGAATTTCTGGTTCAGTCAATAACGGATGGTCTATCAAGAACTAGCTGAAAGCATATAGCCTCAAAACTACCTGCTGAGGAGGAGTAACCTAGGAGATGAGCTACCCAACAGCTTAAGTACTTGAAGAGAGAAAATGTAACAGATAAATTGTGGAACTGCTCCTTGATGGGGCAAAAGGCACAGTCTTGATGCAAGTCAGATGACTGATGAGCAGTAGAATTTACACTCTGTGAGAAGTGAGCTTACTAAATACAATTCCATATAGGGCATAGGGGTGAAGAAGATGGGTCATGAGAAAGGAGCGTGAAAGCTGCATAATTACAGGCATGTAACAGATCACCTGTTATTCAAAGATGTCTTAGTACCACAGAAGGTTCCTGAAGAAGACCTGAAACACAAGCGTAATCTATCTCAAGCTTAAGAAAAAGCATTTACATTGCCAAAAATAGATGGGTTCATCAAATCACAATCCAAAGGCCACTGAATTTAGTTCTAGCTTTCAGAGACTATATGCAGCCTTTGTTTTGTTGCCACTGTATTTGTAACAGCACTTTTTTCTAAAGAAAAAGGGCTTCAAGAATGAGCAAGCAGACACTGTCGACACAGACAACAAGAAACCAAAGGCAGAACAGTATAAATAAAACCAGAAGCAGGTCTCTAAACAAGTTACTCATTCACTAAGGTGGATTCCTACTTACAAAAGAATTAAATTCCCCTTTTCTCTCTGGCCATCTTGCTTCAGTCAATCCACCTCCCCTTTAATAAGCTTTTAGAAACAGCCCTTCTTTACCTCATCTCTGATCTCTCTCTTCCTGATATTACCTTGTTATTTTCAAGGAAGTGGCAACTATTTAACTTTACCAGCTGGTTCTTTTCAGGTGTATGTTATCTAAACAACCTATTGCATCACTGCTAACAGTATTCACCTATCAATTATGCTCTTACCTGCTCCTTATTAACTGGCATTATTACTCAAGTATCATACACATCAAGACTCTTTTTATCTTCAAGTAAGTATGCTGAGAAGAGTAAGTTGCTGCTCTGTCCTTAACTTCTTCACTAGTATTTATTCATCAGTCGTTATTTTCCCTATCCGATTTCCCACACATAGCCAAGGTATCTGTATATATAATATGCAATGCTTAGTGCTGTGCACACATTAGCCTAACAGAGAGAATCATTAATTCCATTTGTTTAGCTTCCCCCCCTGCCCAATCTGAAGTACAGAGTAAAAGGACAAAATTAAGGCAGGATCTTTGAGTGCTCTGTCCTGACCACACTTGAGGCTTCATTTGGACCTTCCCTCACTACGGCTGCAGATCTCTTCACTGCTGTGCTGCAATTACAGTGCCTTCTGGGATTCACCAGTCTGCCCCAGGCATTTTAAGAGGCAGAACAAGAATATGCAGCAGCCAGATCCTGCATAGACCCATTTGAGTGTCTGAAGGTGGAGGAGTGCCTGACCACAACACTAGCTCCCTTCCATACCAGAAAAGCCTTCTGTCAGGGGCTGGAATTTGTGGGCTAAAGCAAGCCCTGCGCTCACAAAGTGTGCTGTAGTAATCTGCTGGTGTGTCACCCTATTTCCTTGACAGTTTTTACACTCAGTTCTGTTGCTGTTTTTAAGCTGTGTTTTAGGTAACGGCTTTGGAGTTTACAAAATCTAAATTCCCTGAAACCAACAGGGGCCTCTGTGACCAAAGTGCAAGCTGCAGGGAGCAGGGGTGAACCACTTCTATTTTATTCAGGAGGCAGGTTATGTTTTTATTATCTAAGCAAAAACTAGCGGGCACCAGCCGGCAGGAAGTCAGTACAGAAGAAATCAAGAAGATCGAGATCGAAAACAAACAGTCCGCGCCCTTTTTAAGTTCATCTGCCACGAAAGCCCCGTGAAACAGAGAAGGGCCTGAACACCCAACCGTGGCTGGTCGCCAACCGCCGCTTGGCCGGGCGAGCCCCGCAGCGGGGCGGGGGGGGGTCCCGGCAGCCCCACTCACCTTGCCGCAGCCCGGTGGCCCCCAGAGGATGAGGGAGGGGATTTCGTGGGACTCCAGCAGCGACCGCAGCAGGGTCTGCGCTCCCAGCACCTGCTCCTGCCCCACGTAATCCCCCAGCGTGTCCGGTCGCAGCCGCTCGGCCAGGGGCTTCCCCTCCAGCTTCCGCGCCAGGCCGGCCCCGCGGAACGCCGCCCCGCCGCCCGCCGCCGAGCCTCCCTCCTCGGGCTCCGCGGCGGCCTCCTCCCGTCCCGCCCCGCTCAGCCCGCCGCCGCGGCCCTTGTGGAAGAGGGAGAAGACGGGGAGGCCGGCGGCCGGGCGGGCATCCTCCGACTCCCCCTCCGCCTGTCTCCCCGGCGGGGCGGCGGCGAGGCGCGGCTGCTTGCGAGGTGGCGGCGAGCGCGGCTCTCCCTCGCCCGCCCCGGCCTGCAAGCACTGGTCCAGGTGCAGGTTGATGTGCGCGCCCGGCAGCTCCCGCAGGCACACGGGGCACTGCACCAGCGGCTCCCGCTCGGCGTCCGCCATCGGTTCCCGCCGCAGAAGGCCCATGAGGCGAGGCGGGGGCAGGAAGCGAAGCCACCGGGCTCTCGGCGCCCGCAGCCCTTCGGGAGCTGTAGTCCGCCCGCTCCCCGCCCCCGGCAGCGGAGGGAGGCGGACTCCGTTTTCACGCCCGGCAGGGAACCTCGCTGGCTTCGAGGGGAAGAAGGGGACAACGTCCCCACGCAGCCCTCGGCTGCAGCTGCGCCGCGGAGCGGAGCGGGCAGGGCCCTGTGGGCAGGCGCCAACATGGCGGCCTGGCGCCCCTGGGGCAGTGCGGGGCAAATTCCTCAGAGCCAGAGGCCCGTCGGCCTTTGGCTCTGTCTGTAACTCGTACTACTGTTTTTCTACCTGGACAGAAGATGTTGAAAAATTCATTTGGGATGTGCAGTATCTGTGTGGGCTCGGGCCGTGACTCCAGGGCAGTGTAGGGTGGTCGCTACTGGTGTTAGCGGTCGCAATCGTGAATAAAACTTAACCTACACAAAGCAGGTAAGCAGGCACTTCTTTATTCCAGTGCTGGGGAACACGGGATAGCTCCACCAAAGACGTGTTCACCGACAGGTACAAACACAACATATTTATACACTTTTTCAGCAGAGTCATAGTGACATAAGATCCGTAGAACGCGCGCTTCTTAATTTGACCTCTATAATTATTGGCTTTCAGTTACCTCACCTTGCCTGTATTCCTATTCTACAGAAATCATTGTTCAACTTTACTGATTGATTTGAATACAAAGAGGGGAGGGTAATGATTAGCATATTCATGTTATTTCCTGGAAGTCGTTATCATATACAAATGTCCCTAACACATGCGTGGTTATGTTGGACAGGGGTCCACTGGTGGTCATTAATAGTCTTCCTCACTGGGTCCACTGATTGAACCTCATCCTTGCGCATGCTCATTTCATCTTTGGCTGATCTTCCAAACCAGACCCAGTCTCTTCTGGTACCTATTGTTTTGACTCAAGGTCCATAACCAGTACCCATTATTTTAATTCAGAGTCCATAGCGATTCTTATAGTGATCAAGGCACACACCATACTAGTTACCTATTCCTACTTTATATTCTCATAGCTGCTGTAACTCCATTTAAAAATCAAAATCATACTCTAAACTAAAATCAAAATAATACTCTAGGTTTCAAGCTATTTTACGAGGGTAACTGCAACACTGGTTTTGTGGTGTTTTGGGAGTGTCAACCTGGTCGTTTGTTGAAATATGTGGAAGCTGCATTCTCAGTTGAAGAGCTACCAATAATATATATATTTTTTTTTTTTTTAATAAAGAAAATATACTCTTGTATTACATAGAATGCAGAGCAGGTTGTATTTGAAAGAAAAGCATAGTAAGTGGTGCTGTTTGCATCCTAATTTACCACCTGAACTTGACCCACTGGTAATTCTTTCCACATTACACCTGGTTTTCTTTCCTAAATTATATATTTAGATTTAATTATATACTGTTACATAATCATTCCCAGCTTGTAAATTTCAGGTTAGTCTAATGTGAAGATGTATTAGGAGGTAAACAACTCAGACTACTGGCTAATGGTACCTGTCCCCAGGCTTAAATTTTGAAAATGTCTGGTTTGCAAATAGTCAATGGATTAGAAATAAAGTTTTTATTTGAGGTGAAGGTGGAGGCCAGAGGGTTGAGTTTGAAGTGAAGTACTTTATGGTCCATCATGTGAACCTAGTTCTGGCTGAAGGGGTTATGATCTAAAAACATGGTGAAAGAAAAAGGGATCATTTGTGGGTTCTTTTCGGCTGGTACCTATTTGCCTGTTCTTTTCTACTTCTGATGGGTTTTATAAACATTTAATATATTGTTTACATTATTATTGTGCAAGTATATTTATTTTCTGCTATTAGGTAGAAGAAGCAGTAGGACTGTAGGTATATACCCTCTGTGCGTACAGTTAGGCAAGTTTTTGTGTTTTTATGAGGTGTGTGTGGTTTCTGGGTGTGTAAGTGAAGATGTGGTTAATGAGGAAAGATATTTTGCTTGAAGTGAGAGATTGGCTTGCTGAAGATGACCCAGAAGAAAGCATCTCCCAGGCCAAAGTTGGGTAATATAAATGATGGGGCGAAGGTTTTCGCCCTTCTTTGGGGGAATTGGAGTTCGGCAGCGATTTGAACTGTTTTGTTTTGTTTTGTTTTAAATAAAGTAGAAGGCCATAGCCTCCCATTGCTCAGTGGCACATGACCAGGGTGGGATTGTTTCTCTGGGACTGCAGATGTGGCACTTGCAAACAAATTTCTCTGTGTGTACCTCAGAAACTTTCTGTTGTTTAGTTTATTGTTTCAGGGATATGTTAAGGGGAGAGGGCAATCAAGTTTAGACTCAATCCTAGTCTCTGTTTGGTAACAGAACCCAGTAATTCCTTCAGGCTTGCCATCCCATTAATATTTTCCCAGATAGCTGATCCATTGCTCAGCTTGAAGGAACAACATGTCCTTTCAGTAGAACATGTCATTCTCATTAGATGGATGGCCACATTTGGTGATCATAACCTAGAGGATGACGTGCACTTTGAAGAGCTAGGGAGAGCCTGAATCAACTTTCCTTGGTTTCAGTCACATCAGGCCAGAAGTAGTCTTCACTCTAAAACACTGTGGGATTTGAGTAGCTGGAGTCATGGAGGGAGCGGGAGGGTGTCTGGAAACATCACCTGTTTTTTCTGACAGCTTTGGAGTATGTTGCATCACCCCTTGGTATGGAGTAGATTGAAGGATCTGTAAAATAATGGCTCAAAGGTTAGGCAGAGCTCTTGTGGTATGTCACCTGCAGTTGTCGGTGCATTTAGGAAAACTCAAGAACCTGCTCTTGAGAAATGGGGGAAGAAAATCTTGTGAAGTGTCCTTTTGCCTGAAGGGGATGGGAAGGGATGTCAGAGCCATGAGAGCTGGTGATGGAGGCTAGAAGCAGCAGGCATGGCATTTTTGCATGCCAGGTGCACAACTTCGTTGGATGCTGAATGTCTTACAGTCCCATGATGGTGTCTCTGCATCTCAGAGACTAACAGCACTCTCTAGGGCTGCAGTAATGTAGTAGCAGCAATCTCTTTGGAAGGCTCATTTGTGAGCTGCAAGCTTGCACTGTCCTTTGCTGTCCATCATCTATAAGTGTCACCACTAGCAAGCCACCTCCTGTGTCACACGTGATAGCATGTGGCATCTTTCACATCTGGGAAGATTTTGGAGGGCTAACAATGGGCAGTGCAGTTACTTGATGTAGGTGTACATCTGATCTGTGGCATGTGCACAGATGTGGGGTCGAAACACTGTGAGGAACGTTTTCTCTTGGAAGGTGTTTGGGTAAAAATAACTGATTTAATTGAGTCTCTGGTTGTACATTGAAAGATATTTCTCTGTGCTGCTAATGACTGTAAGGTTGTATATACATTCTTAATAATGCCATATAATTTATGGTATTTATGCAAGTTAAAATGAGCTGTGTAATGAGATTGACCAGATTCAGCTTTCTAGAGCTAAAGCATTAACGCTGTGCTTTTGTAACTGGGTTTCCAGTACAGTGAAGGAAGGGTTGCAATAACAACAATAAAAATGCTTTTGTCCTCTATTTCCGGGGTATACACAGATCTTCCAAGTGAAATTTTAGAGTACTTTCTCTTACTCTTTTAAAATTGGTTGTGCAAAAGGACATATTTACCGAGTTGTTACTTGGCAGGGGAGGAACCCACCACCTTGCTGTGGAATAAAAGCCCTTCTACAGAGAATTAATCAAAACTAACAGCTTGACTTGCAACAACTTTCCAGCCAATCTTACCATTAGACAAAGCCTTGATGATCCTACCTCATAGAAATGCTGAGCACAGTGAGGGCCTACAGTGGGAAGGAACCCAGCTGAGGACTGTGCTCTTCTGCAGCCTTCAACAGAGGGCCTGAAATTACCACTATTTTGGCAACTATCTATTTCCATGGTATAGGATAGTGGCAAGGACTGTGTTCAAGCCTAAACGACTTTGTTTAATACTGAAAATCTTAATGGACTTACTAACAGGGTCCTTGCACGTCAACTTGCTGGAGCTGCAACAGAGAGAAGGAGAAAACGTTGAGCAACAGTGAACCACTGAAGTGGTTAAAAAGTGGCAAGTGATCCATAAGCAAGGTTTGCAAGCAACAGCAATATTTATAGATTTGGTAGAGCTAAATAGTTTCTATGAACAAATTAAATTACATTGGTCTTGTAGCCTGCTTGAATTATCAGGTGTTGAATGGAGATGACTAGGTAGAACGACATCTGTGAACGGCTAGTGCTGTTAACTCTACATTTGTGTGTTGGTTCAGAAAATATAGGCAAAGTTGAACTATAAAATATTGCAATGACAGCAATTTTCTAAGCTATGCATGAATAACACTGATGCCTCTTAATTGTCTTTCTTTTGTACAGCCAAGAAGGAGGAGAAATCAGAAGGTATGAGTGTTCACTGGTTTACGAATCTAAGGTGGAGAGGAAAACAGACAGTAAATTAACTGGGCACAGTATGAAGCTACTTAAGATTAACAGGCTGGAAGAGATCAATGCACGATACAACAGCAACAGACTGGAAAAAACAGCCTTTTTTCAGAGCATGGAAAAAGTGGAGAGGACTAGAAGCTTTCAGGAAGAAAAATTCAGTGAATCATATCCTGTAACCGAAGATGAAAAGGTAACTAACTAACTGCATAATGAATTGTAATTTCCCAAAGCACTGTCTCTTTCTTTATTCAGCTAAAGAGTTTACTATGTGCATTTCCCAGTAGAGCTGGATTTTTCATTATCATCTGTGAAAATGTATTTCAGTTCTGAGAGACCGATCAGTATCTTTTAATCTTTTGGATTCATAGAAGCAAGCACGTGTGTTTTTATTATATGGTTTATTTACAGCTGGGCTTACATTCAAAAGTTGTAAAGAAGTTGTGTGGTTCTGCAGCTCTTCAAAATCAGAAGGTAAACATGGATTGTGTTGGATTCATGTTCTGAAAGCATTTGTCCTGTCTAACAGCTCTGGAGTTAGTGGGGACTGAATGAATCCTATGGAAAGAGCAGATTTCTCAGAGGAACTAAGGCAGCTTTGTCCTTCACTCCCCATTAACTGGGGAGCAGGGCATGGTTACATGCTCCGTGC